CATTGCTTCAGAAATATGAAAATGCTCCTGTATATTAGAATATGATTTTGAAATATTTCGATTTGTGGCTTATGGCCATGGATTGGTTTAGAGGGATTTTCTTCTCTTCATTATTAAAAAACATAGTCGTCTTAGCCCCACTTGGTGGTGGATCATTAGAGGATTAGACACTGTGCTACCTGGCTTTAAATGGTGTAACATCACACAATCAAGTGTCAACTGGACTGCTGGTGTTAGTATACATGTCGGGTTTAAGCTAAAAAACCTGACTATGTAGTCCCAACAATAATGGGGGTGGGTGGGTGGATGGCTGAAAGGTTAGCATGTACGTGTTGTATCATAAGGTCTGTCATTGAGTCAACTGGCGTGGTTTTGATTCCCCAGTTGTACATGACAAGGAGTAGGGTCGCCTGTCTACCCTTGTGGATTTTCTCATGGTTTCATCCCACTGCTAAAGACCCCTACGTGTAAGCGAATTATTGAAATAAAATTGAACCATATGTTAGTCTCTCTCTGTCTGTCTGTCTGTTTGAACAATATTGAAGCTGATTATTACATTATGCCCAAAATAGAGTATTTTGGTAAGAAAATGGTTTCTGTGAAACTTATACAAGTAGTTGATACCTCTGTCTTTACTTGCTCAACAAATAAAAGGCAGAATTCAATTAATAATAAGACATGTATTCACTGACCTCTTTGATCAGGGACAAATGAGAAGCTCAAATACAAACCATAAAGATTTATGGAGATAGCACTGGCAATTGAACTGGGTTTAAGACATCAAAGCAGATTTTAGATGAAGAATGGTGAACAGTCTGGAATATTTGCCTGATATTTCTAAAGTCATCTGGTGAAAGAAAACTTGGCACATTAGAAATTTATTTAACTATTTAAACATACATTATGCAAGAGCTAAATCTGCCTATTGCAGGTCTTTCTTTGGGCCTGAACTATTAATTAGACATTTACTAACAAAACAAGACCATAACCAACTCTCGATGGCATTGGATACTTAACTAGATTAGAACGGTTCGCCATTTAAAAATTTAATTTAAAACTACAAACAGTGATAACTTGGCTGAGAATGAAGTAATTTGAATGAAATTTTCAATATTTTCATGTTACATTATATATTTTTGAGCTATTATTGCAAGAATGGTCAGCTCTTTAACTAAATCTTACATAATGTATCTTTAATAGTCATTTTTGTATGGCACAAAACAACCAAAATTTGAAGAGAGTGTGGATCACTTTGACATATCCCAATCTATATCTGCCATTACATAAGGGGAACTCTCAAAATCTAACTCTGACCACAATGCTACAATACTGTTATAAACGCAATTTGCATTCTTCGATAATTTCCAGTTTGAAAGATTACCTAGGAAACAGGAGCTGTTATTTCCCATTAAGAATTAGAACTGAATAATCCGTGCATGATAAGGCCCACTTGGTGCAAATATCTAAGTAATCTATGAAGGTGGAATAGTTGGATGAAATGTCATTTATTTCCTTTACTACTTAGTCGTTTGCTTGAAATAACTTAGATATCGACCATCTGTTGATGGAAAACAAATGTTGTATCTATTGGTCGCAGCTTTACCATTGAGCTAATTATTTTTATACACAAACATTTAGTTTAAACAATATTTTATTCAAAAAACTGAATTGGATTGAACAACAGGCAAAGGTCTATATAAGTAAGTTCTCTCCAAACATATAAATCTTATGTTTACAATACGATGGTGGACATATGTACAGGCAGTGAGTTACATATATACATTCCTTGGAGTGTAATTTTAAGTTTTAAACGTTAAAGTGTTAAAATCTCTTGCTGTATTTTATGTATTTTTGCACTATTTCAAATATGTTAGAATTGGTATTATCTGAAAGAGCGGGGTTGCCATATAAGATCAGATCAATTGTAACATTTTGTTTAAGGTAAACAGGGTATTGTCGTTACCTGCGTCTGATCCACTCTTCTTATCAATGCTTTACACACTTTAGTTCTTGTCTTGAGTACAAACAGGTTGTATGACATTAGACTATAATTTGTGTGTTATTTAACTAATTAATTTCACTAATATACAGCTTTACATTAGTTCGGTAATTTGTACATTAATTACTCTACACGATTAATCTACGATTGATTTTATATAGATTAGGTTATAGATCAATGTATTTTATGTATTTGACAACAACCCGTTACTCAGGCAAGATGATGTTAGTGGAGCTATAGAATTTAAGTGATTTTTTTTATAGATCTAAATAGTCTAAGTATTAATATTGCATGAAGAAAAGAAATAAGGTTATTGATTTATTGGGAGAGTTTTATAATAAATCGCTAAATAACTATAAAAGCCCACTTATGGTCTGTAACATGAATGGTAAAAGTGTGATTAATGACAAATATTTCTATAAACAATAATAAACAGTAGCCGAGTTTCTTGTTTCTATCACAATATATAACCAGACCTGTCTATAGCTAGCTATGATGTTAAACAAAACAATAGAATGTCTGATGAATCAATCTACAAACATGTTGATTAAGATAAAATAAATGCATATACATCCATCGGGAATATATCCTGGAATGAAGTTAATTTTAAAAGTGGAATGCTACCAGTATTTGATTTGTCATGAGACATAGAAAAGTGGATGGTTGCTTGGAGACAATTTACCGAAATTGTGATTGATTCATATAATAATAATGTAATTATAATCTTTTTCCTGAGGGGGAGATGGGGTTTAACATTCACACAGTCTCAGCACAAACTAGTTCATTTTGGGACTAACATGGGATATCCTTATTTTAATAACTTGCTAGTGTAAACGATGTTAGGGTAAAGACAGGAACCTAGAGAAAATCAGTGCAACCAAATAGTTCAATGCAACCAAACAAATAGTTCATTGTAAAAGCTTTTCATTTGATATCACTGAATAATAATGACAGTTACTAAATTGAATTCACCCACTTTTCTTCATTTTGCATTTTTTGGACAATATCTAATTTCTTACTAAAATATCTAATTTTTACAAAATACCTAAAAAAAATTACTAAAATACCTAAAAAAAGTTACTAAATCTAATTTTTACTAAAATACCTAAAAAAAATTACTAAAATATCTAAAAAATTTACTAAAATATTTAAATTTTTTACTAATATACGGTATCTAAAAATTTTCTATAATATCTAATTTTTTTTCTACAATATCTAATTTTGAAGTAAAATATAATCAATTTGATTATTTGATGAAGACATCAAAATCAGACTATCAGTGGTAGATAATCTAACGGCTAGATTCAATCAATTAAAAAGGGGCCTGTCAAAAGATTTTAACAAATGTCACAGGTGACACCTGGTTGTTTTGAGAGTTTATATCATCTAATCTGCACAATGTTGTAAAATTTTCGTTTTGTCAAGTCGATGTAAATACAGAACAGTAGAACGTTAAACCCCATTTCATTTCATTTCTATGTAAATACTGAAACCTAAGCAATTTTTGGATTCCTGTTAGAAATCCTCCAACTTCTACAATATTCTAGTTTGCAAGGGAATAATAGTCCCCTCAAATTACCTCCTGATATGAAATGCTTTTAAATTTGAATTAAAATAACATCTAACATAGTGAACCTATTATAGTCAATGAATTGGACTCATTTTAAACAGATTTTTCAATTTGCTAATTTTCCCACTCGACCCACAATAATTTGAATCAGACATCGGGTTGATTGATACAAAGGATATTCAAAAACAGAGATTATCCTAAATGTGAATTTAAAGACAGACTATGTCTGGTTTGGCTTAAAGCTAAATTGGATGATTATATAGCCATCTAGATAGATGTACTTACAATGTAAACTTGTGTAAGTGGCCATGTCATATAGCTCTTATATTCTGTACAGATAATTGACCTTCACAAGATCATTAACTTTCACAGCTTGTTAGAGCTTCATCCCTATAGAATTATTACTATCTATAGCATCAGTCATGTACACATTGGCTGTAGACATCATTTATTTCATCAGCGATTGTCGTATATAATCATTATATTGTAAATCAATTTGGAATAGCAGAAACCGGGTGGAATTGTCCCGAAGCTGGTCCCGACTATAAAACTTGGAAATAAATCTAAATAACTTTCTGAATAATTCAGGAAATAAATCTAAATAACTTTCTGAATAATTCAACACTGAATCCCATGTGAATAGAAAATAGTTTATTCAATCGATTTATAATTAGGTTTTTCGCACAGGACTTAAGATTATTAATAATTGTAGCACAAATCTGAAATTTCTTTGATTCTCATTGGTTGAAATTCATCATCTATTGGACAGTAACAGCCCTCTTATTTTGGGGCGATTCATGGCAAACTAATATAATTTCTTAGCATCGATGTTCGTATACAAACAATACACTTCAAAAACAGTTTATGCTTAAGCCTAACACGTCTTGGGCTCTAATGATCTCGGACATGTCTATTGCACTATAACACCCCCCTAAATTCAGTCAACTGACATGGTTCCGATTCCTGGTTGTATGTGACAAGGCGTTGGGTCGTCTGTCCAACCTCATGGATTTTCTCCGGGTCCTCTGGTTTCCTCCCACTTCTAACAACCAATACCCGTAAACAAATTATTGAAATAAAATTGAACCATGTTAGTCCCAAAATGACCTAGTTTGTGTGGAGTGGGGGTTAAACCCTCTCTCTCCCTCTCTCTCTCTCTAAATTTGAAACAGGAAGTGTTTATCTAAATTGTTGTAGCAGCATTTAGTAACTGAATGAGAAGAACACATGACATAATTATACAGAATACAACTTACTTAAAAGTTTATTCCTGGCGACGTTTCGACAAGTGTTCTCTGGTCTTTATCAAGCAAAGAATAACTGCCACATCTCCTAAATGTAAATGAGTTATAAATAAAATGATCATTTCATTCTTCTATTGCTAACAATGATTTGTTACATGGAATTTAATGGTATTTATTTTTTTTCCAGTGGTGAGCGGAAGTCTGTCAAACCTGGTGCTCCATCAGAGCCAAATGAGTACAACTTTAATTACAAAAATCGAGGTATCTTTATTATCATCAATAATAAACATTTTGATGAGAGTACAGGACAAGAAACAAGAGAAGGTACTGATATCGATGCTGAAAGATTAGAAGAAAGATTTCAGGATCTGGGTTTTGATGTTCGACGTTACGATGATGTTACTAGAACTAAGATGACAGGATTAATGTATGATAGTAAGTAGAATGCTGTGTTGACAATCTCAGTTTACTTGTTCTTCTTCAAATATCAGCTGCCCAGGGATCTCTTAATTTATATGTTCATTGCTATTTTGTTTTATATTACAAAACAAATATCTAGACATGCTACCTTGCTCATACAGAAGACCCTGATGGGATGTAAAATACAATAAAGTTAAGTGGTTCCAGGAAAATCTCATGAAAAATTTGGACTAGTTCATTAAACATTTCATGTCTTTGTCATGCATTTAGTTCGAGATCAGAAATCTGCTAGGCCTGAAGCTTCTGTTGCGTCTGACTTTTTCTACTTTAGGTACATCATATGATCCCTCTTCTTATACTTTCAGTTGCATCACATGACCATTCGAACTCTGATTGTTTTGGTTGTGCTATACTCAGTCATGGTAGAGATGGTAAAGTCTATGCTACTGATGGTATATTACCAATAGAGTTAATGGTGCTACCATTGAAAGGTAGTAGAAGTCCTACACTTGTTGGTAAACCCAAACTTTTTTTTATTCAGGTAAGTCATATTTTCTTTTATTATTAAAATCTAACACAGGATAACTTGAGGGAATAGGAGTATGGGATTTGGTGGTTGTAAAATTTTGGCCGGATTTTCCCAAGTCTTGTTTTGTCTGAAGCAATCGTCCATTTTTACCCAGACTACTTTATTTGTAACCTCAGCGATTGCCTACAACCCTCAGCATAATTTGAAGTCTCCCATAAAATATTTGGCCATGACTATGATTCACGAAAAGTGGAAGTAACTAGGACAGTCTAAACTAAACAACACCCAGAAATCTGAAATATTAACATATCTGTAGGATTAGAAAAGATGACAAAAATTATACAAAGATAGTTGAATGGAAAGAACAATTACATAGTGTTTTGAATAATACTGTTTTGTTTCTACCCGTAAGTGGATTGGTTTTCTAACGTAATTGATTTAATTAAATTATGTTCTGTTATAGCACGGCTTTCATGAGTTAACAGGGGGTAACAAATGAAGGTGCTATAAATGACAATTGTAACATTGACATCTGCTCAACATGCTTGTGGTTATTGCATAGAAAACCCACCCCACTTCTCTATATGATTTCTACTAAAACTAGTGTAAACCGGCAAAAGTGTGCAATAACATTGAACATGTCTAGTTATTGCAGGTTAAGCTCCACTCAATCTAATAGAGGGAAAACAATTTGCTTATTCAATCAAAAGAACAAAAAAAGATTTTCGGTCCATGTTACAAATCTTATTTATCAACCAGAATATAGTCATATATTTTATATTTACAACAGAATTATATTTCTTGCATTGTTAGGCTTGTCGAGGAACAAAGTTAGATTATGGCGTAGAACTAGCTGATTCCATCACACCATCACCACAAGATGAAACAGATGCAGCTGTTCAAACTGTCACCATACGTAAACTTCCAGCTGAGGCAGATTTTCTTTTTACGTATTCTACAGTACCCGGTATTACATTTAAATCATAACATTTATTATCTGCCCACATAGAAATGTGGTCGTTAATTGCCGTCGCCCCTTCTGGGCGCCGTTCACACTTTCTTGTGAACACTCTACAGACCACATTTATTATTTGATTGTTTTGAAATTGATATGTCGTTTACATTACTGAGATGAAGAGTCCTATTTAATTTCAATAATTTCTTCTGGAGTTATTTCCACGATTTAGCTTCTGTGGGCATATGTTTTGTTGCCTGGCTGGCAACCTATCTTTTCATCATTTCATTCAAACCTATGTAATAAAAAAAAATGTTATTTCCATTCTGTATAAACGGTTGGTCACTCTTTAGACATGCCTGAAAACGTAATTTTAGACAAAAAATATGGTGGCGACATACTCCTTGCCATTTAAATCTTTGATTTGAATCACAGAAGTTACCTTAAAATATCATATTTTACCATTTTCTTAACAGGTTATTATTCTTGGAGAAATAATCAGGATGGTTCATGGTTTATTCAAGCATTGTGTATAGTGTTAGAAAATCATGGTTTTAAAATGGAATTACTACATATGTTAACACATGTTAATCGTATTGTGGCCTACGAATTCGAATCTTGCACAGATAAAGAATTCACGGATGGAACTAAACAAATTCCCAGTGTTGTATCAATGCTAACTCGATATGTGTACTTTCGACCAAAGAAACAAGACATCAGATGATCTACTGTTATCCATCTTTTGGCTAGATATGTGCTGTAATTTCTCATGTATTATATACGGTAATACTGTATGATGTGATATTTAATAAAATTATCATTATATGTATGTTCTTCTTTGTATCATCATTGTACATTTTGCTTTGATATAGAGATTTCAATTGTTTGCTTTAGTGTTACCATTTTTAAGATAATTGAATAATTATGTTCTGAATTAGTTTGGTGATTGCTTTGAAGTTTGAACTGAAGTGATCTGTACTTGCATTGATATATAATTTTCTGTGTTGCTAGGCAACGATTCAGAATTGTATTTGAATGCTTTGACATTTTAAAAAAATAATACAGCAAAATATAACTAACTTCTAGAGTATTTACAAGTTTTTAATGATGAGTAAATAACTCCATGAATGAAGTATGTCACTCTAAAATTCAAGAGGGTTCTCTCCCATGAATAGACAAATGCAGCCAATTTTGGAAAAAGTACTTCTAAAACATGGTTTTGAATTAACACCATAAATGACTGACATGTTACTTCATTCAACTAGTCAAACAATCCCAGAACATTTGAAAAAGAAATTCCAAACAACATTGACCTTCACATCAATGTAATAGCAAAGTCTTAAAAGATCAAAATAATTGATGAACAAGAATAATTGAGGGGCCATTCCTATTATTCAAAAAGGCAGCAAATTTGAAAAATAAAGTCATAAATACTCGAACTGGTCGAGCAATTACAAACTTTTGATAATATTGAGATTAATATATAGACAAAAAAACATTACAAAATATATGTATATTAATTATAGAATAGAATAACGCGCTATGGTATTACGATATAATTTCATACTTGACTATAGTTTAAAGGTTCTGTAGATTTGTTGCAGGCTTTTTTGTAAAGACAAAAAGATGTACTTGTTGTATGTATATTTTATATAGCAAGTGTTATTTATAGAAATTGTATATTAAGTAATAAATATGAGAAATGTGGCTTTGTTGTTCACTTCCTGCATATTTTTTAATGTCCACTCAGATCAAGACCAACCAGGCATTTCAGAACCCATAGAATACCCACAGGGTTAGTCAGGAATTCCTTCTTCTCTTCATCATACAAACATAGGATCCAAACCACAACTTGAAGAACAACTGAATGACAGACCTTATGATCTTTAAGTGCACATAAGAACCCCCCCCCCCCCCTTCCTGTTGAAGTGTGAAAATAAATTAGACCAAGATTTCACAGGATATTTACTAAAAAGGATAAATAGATAATATTACTGATATCATAGGAAAACTTAGAATTAGACTTTAGAATTTGTCCACTATTCTGAATCCTCAAAATTGCAAGTATAGTGAAGCTAATGGTGAGAGATCCAGTGGTGGACAAATTCTGCATTTGCTGTTAACTTAGTCTTAGTTATTCATTTATGCCCAGCTGAGACATACTAGTATCTAAGGGCCAGCCAAAAATCTTCAATGGAACAAGAAAATTATTCATTTTTTTTTTTCAAGAATATTACCTTCAAGAGAAATGTGGTTGATTAAAGACTAACATATGGTTTGATTTTATTTCAATTATTCACTATGTAGGGAAGTAGTATGGGAAATAACTCTTTATATTACTGCGGACCATATTTAGTGAACTTGATTAAATTCTAGCAGTACAATATGCTTGAATACATATTTTAGTAGCTTTTCATAGTGTTAATTCCACTAAAACTGGGCTTGTATATAATAATACAGAAACTATGTTGCACTGAATCCCTGCCCTCTACCAAAATGATAACACTCATACTGGCAGAGAATTGAAATAAAATGGGGTTGAATGTCCTACTGGGCTAATGAAGACAAGCATATAATATGCCATACAGTGTGTTATGAGGGAAATTTTGCAAACTGCCAGGGGATCTTTTATGTGGATGTATATACTATGATCAAAAATAAATTTTGAATTCTGATGGAATAAAATTTGAAGAAAACTGGAGTAAGATCAATATGAATCTGTTATAATTATGCCAGTAACGTTGGATGTTAAGCCGAATGTGGTATTCAACTGTTATTTCCGGACATAATCCTGTAGAAAATTAAAAAAACAACTAGTAAAGTCAAACGCTAGACAAAATAAGGTCTGACTTTTAAGAGATACTGTTTCATTTCCACTAAGTTGCACTGACTTCTGATAGACGTGGCACACATCATCATCTCAATAATTATTAAGATATAGTTTTTAACACTCCATGCTGGGGCTGCCAGTGGATATGACTGTCAGTAGAGGAATATACGGGTAAAATGAAGGACCTGCGGTGTCTCATGATATAAGACACTGGCTCGCTAACCAAGAGGTATCGGAATCACTCAGTGTTCGCAGAGACAGTTTCTTGGGATTTACCTGTGTATTGTCCCCTTGTCAGTGGAGGAGGACGGAGCTCTCATGTACATGTTAAAATAAGAGTAGCTTTTATCGCTACTTACAGAGGCAAAATTACCCTCACTAAAGGGCGTATACCTGTCTTCATTAGACCAATCGATGCAGAAAAGTAGGACGATAAACTCTATTTCATTTTATTTTCACCCTTAAAATGAAAAATAAAATCAACAACATATTATATTGATACATATAGTTATATTAACTAATATATTATTATTATATAAAAGTATACTGATCAGAACAACAACAGAATTGTATGATAATTACAATGAATCAATATACAACAGACCACTCATTTAACAGGATTCAAAAACAAATACAGAAGGAACAGTAAGACATTATTCTTGTCAAAACACAAGGTTTGAAGCTTGAGGTATACATGTTAAAACTTCATATTAGATTTCACTGTCTGAAGTTTCAAGCAAATGCATCTTCCATTCATAGTACACACATACAACACTCATTAAAGTTACAATTTCATATTTTCTAAGAAAGTCAAAACATAATGTCTTTTGCTCAATAGGTTGTCAACTCACTATTATACGATCTTTCTCACACTTAAAAATCTTTACACCGGAAATAATAATACAATTACCTCTGAATTACCTCCCTTGTTTTCTATTCCCCACCATGAAATAGCTATCTTCAAACGTATGAATTTGAAGTTGAAAATGATATTTTTGCCAATTTCTCAACTGGCAATAGTGAATTATAGGATTAATAGGATTATTCTTTAACAAGGTAGGATTGTTTATAGAAACCATCTATTTTAGGGCTTTATTTTAATACATTTTAAAAAAATAACTTAAAAATATGAAATTGTAACTTTAAAGCAATGGTGTCAAATCTGTGTTGTAATAGAAAGTTTAAGAACATTTCAACAAAACCATCAGAAGAACCAAATATATCAAGTATCTCCTATGTACTGGGATCTAGAGCGTTGATGCCTTTATCAATTAATCATTTTTGTCCCTTTGATTAAAGTTCCGTTTGGAATAACAGAATCGTAAAATTCACATGGTAATTACAATATGATACCATGTCAAAAGAATTATTAAATCTATCCATTATATTAAACAATGCATTCACACTTGGCTAAATATTACTGGTAGTTACTAACCCAACTATTCTTCCCCGTTTCTCTTTAATTAGCCAGCAGGGTTAATTATTATTTTTTGTCAATAAAACCATTCTCAGAAATTAAGCAATTCTGGTGACTGCAGCATGACATTCAGACTACATCTGAATATATTATAAACACTACATATCTTTGAAATCCAATATATGCTGGTGTGGATGAAAGACATTGTTTCTATTTCCGCAACCAATTTCTAAGAATGGTTGTAAGGTTTTGATAGTTTCTATAATAAACACATTCATCAGATAAGTGAAGTTAAAACCAGGACAATAATTTCGAAAAAAAACCTTGTCAATATTTGTTTTCACTCACAATCCTTTTACACATTTTGTCTTTCTATAAATAAGAAAATTTTCAGTCTTTAGAGAACATATCTTTGAGTCTGTCCCGACTAGTATAAAGACAATATGCTGTAGCTAATCCAAATCCTATTCCACCACCTCTAACACACCTCTTCCACCCAGCTGTAAAAAAAAAAAAACAGTTGAAATTAAAATATACTCTTCAAAATTTCTCAAAAACTTTAATTTTTATCCCCTTTCATGGCAGCACACTTTACAGCAGATTATAAACGAACCAATCAAATGTTCTAAGGGAGCAATACCTTATTTTGATAAACGATCCTTAATATTATGATAAAACATCCATTTAAATTTTGTTTAATTTTGGGATCTCAATATCAGATCTCCCATTATTACAATTCCTATCTTGACTAATGTGCTTTTTGTCAGGAAGTCAATAGTGGTAGACGCAGGATATTTGGTTGGGGGACCCAGATGGGGAGTAGTTCTTTCCACCCTGTTCACTCGACTGATTGGGGGTTCCTGGATCCTGAGGTGTCAATGGTTATTTGTGGCGCATATTTGGACCCCAATAAAACATTCACTGTCATCAACTACAACCAATACAGAGCTCAAATTTACATGTTTTATAGAAACAGAATAAGTGAATTTTTTATACTCTTATTCATATTCAAGTCCAATTTATCAACATGTGCATTTTAGTACGGAAAGTCTGTTGGCCAATTTCGTTATTTTACCGAGATTTCATCTAATGGTTTGGATCCAGCTATGGCGGGTGTGGCGCCAGGCAGGGTAAGCTTACTCTTCCGGACACCTGTTACCACTGTTTGTCGTGTATTTTGTACACGGTGAACAGTCGATTTGCTGTTTACACCATTTTTTACCTATACCGTTTTTTTTTTTTAGGACTTCGAATTTTGTCTAATGGTTTGGATTGTTCGTACTTGGTTTTATTTTATTTATACATACCTGAACATTTATATAGTAAACCTGTAGCTGTAGCTGCTGTTATAGTGTTTAACTCGTCTTCTACACCTCGACCCATTGATAACACAACACCAAATATACTATACATTAACGCTATAAATACACCAATAAAAACTTCAGTAGTAAAATACAAACACAAATTATTAGATATGTGAACTTTATATTCAGTGACACCTACACTATCATAAGGGGTGTCATTGAGTCAACAGGCATGGTTTCTACGGTTGTACGTGACAAGTGGGTTTTCTCCGGGTCCTCTGGTTTCCTCCCACTGCTAAAGACCCCTACGCTCAAGCAAATTATTGAAATAAAATTGAACCATATGTTGGTCCCGAAATGACCTAGTTTGTGTCGAACGGACGTTAAACCCCATTTCCCTCTCCCTACACTACTGGAAGAACAGTTTGGAATGCTGCTACAAAGTACATTTTTGTATAAATTTTATGTAGGAAAGCTGTAACATCTTTATATCATTATGTTTCGTTTAACTAATCTATTGTGACAAGAATTGTAAAAGTTGATACATATCTATACTTTATTGAATGATATTTCATTTTCATTTCTGCAGATATTTAAGAGAGAGAGAGATGGGGTTTAAAGTTCACTTAACACAAACTAACATATGGTTCAATTTTATTTCCCGGCGTGGTTTCCCTTGTCAGTGATGCAGGACAGAGGGGCTGACAAGGAAAGCTGTCTAGTCGTTCGGATGGGACAAAAAACCAAGGTCCCGTGTACACATTGGCGTGCACGTAAAAGATCCCTTGGCAGTTGGAATTCGATTTAAGAGTAGGCCGTAGTGCCGCTGTCCGGGCAAAATTTCCCTCATAGCACACTGTATGGCATATGCCCGTCTTCATTAGCCCAGGTTAGGAGCAGAACAGTAGGACTTTAAACTCAATTTCATTTCAATTTTATTTCAATAATTCGCTTGACTAATTGGAGGAAAGCGGAGGACACAGAGAAAACCCATGAGGTTGGACAGACGACCCTACTGCTTGTCACCTACAACCGGGGAATCAAAACCAGGCCAGTTGACTCAATGACAGACCTTCTATGATACAACGCGCACGCGTAACCATTCGGCATCCAACCTCCCAAATTATCACACCAATAATTATATCCAATTCACTTCATTTGTAGCCCTATCTTTTAGATTAAAAAATGCACATTATTTCATATACTGGTATTGAGATAATGCAATACACTGAGTAGAAAAACACTGAGTAGAAATACCTCCTTTTAATTTTATTGCAATACATGTATCTGCTACAATACTCTACCATAATATGTATAGTAAACAACATACCTACAACTCCTAATGTCTGAGCTGATGAAGCTCCTTGCTTTGCTATGAAGTTCAACATTCTAAGGAGAAAAACAACAATTAAAAAATATAAAAAATAGTTTCAGAATTTCATTGGCAGTGAATTAAAGTTAATACACGTCTCATTTAATCCCTCTCAGTGCTAGTAGCAGCCAAGCGAAAAATTACTACCTATCAGTTTGGTATGTTGGTAGAAAATCATATGTAATGATACAGCAGATCCATATACTTACTGAGTTCGTCTAACTGCTCCTGTTAACTGAGCTGCTTTTGTTTCTTTCAAACCAGAATATAATCCATTTAACCCTCCTACAGCTCCCCCTAACATAATAATACAATATAAGAAATTAACCCACCCAACTCAAGATCAGAAGTATAGTGTAATAATATTATACAGGCTGAGCCCAAAATATATTACCCATTCTGATTGTACGCTACTTATTTAAATGTGAATACTTTGATAATTTTTTTCAGAAAAATGTCACAGAAGCATGAAGTTTTTATTGGAGACTATTGTTTCCGCAAGGTCAGGAACTTTGCCATCCAAAAATTAATAATATTGTCCAATATTTTTAATACACTGCTCAAATACAATTATTTTTTTCTGAAAAATGTCACAGAAGGACAAAGTTTTTATTGGAGACTATTAGTACCGGTATCCAATAAAAACTTCATGCTCATATTAGAATTTTCTGAACAAAATATTATATGAGAATTTTCTGAAAAAAAATTATTAAAATATTCACATTTAAAAAAGTAGTGTACAGTCAGAATGGCTAACATTTTTTGGCCCAAAATGTATATTGACAGTGTGAAAAGGGCAAAACTTCTTATTTTACATTTTACATTATAAAGATTTGATTGTTAGAGCGAACACGATTCGTGAAACATGTTTCCACAGGGGTCAGGAACTTTGGCATCCAAAAAATAATAACATTGTCCAATATCTTTTTATAGAAACTGCTCAAATACAATAGATTTGTTCGTCTCCTAGCATTATACAATTTAGAGAATCTTAAGCAAATGTGATTGTATGGTTTATATACATTTGTATCAAGTTCCATAACTCTGGAAACAATTATCCGAAATTCAGGAAATCCATTTTTCTTATACATCTTAATCATTATCATAAACAAAGAACCAAAAATTGAAACAATATATAGTCTAGGGTGTTTGCAAAGAATTGTGGAACAAGTCAATACTAGCGTGATGTTATAATTATATGACTACACAGAATTGTGGATGAATGAGAAGGCTTTTACCTGCAAACACAGACCCTCCTATCTGAGAAAAGGAAAGTTCTAATCGACCTCGTTGTCTGTTTGCTCCCTCTGGAAATATAAATTCTGAATCTCCACCCTGGAATAAAATGCATTTCATGAGTAATTTTATAAATTCAATTACCGGTTCTTAAAACAAACTGAAGAATTTCTTAGATCTTTGAGACCTTGATAAATAAACAGCTGCAGAGCCAAGATTTTTAAAATTGGTCAAGGGCCACAACTATGAGAAGAATTTTGCCCAGGCAGCGATATTTCTGTCTACTCTACATCAAATACAAACTGCAAAGAGCTTTTATAAATGTGTCATGCACCTTGCCAGACTCTCCGTCCTACGCCACTGACATATGGGGTGCCCGATTGGAAAATCCTAAAACTTTTCTTGGCTAACACCAGCAAGATCAAGCCCAGAACCTCCCATCAATAACCATTAATGTGTATAAAATCTTACCGGTGAAATAAATGCTGGATCAAAATTTAAATAAGGTGACATAATAGACCCTGCTTGGCCAGCAGTAACTGAAAATAAAAGGAGAAATTTTTCTTAAAAATAAGTTTTTACTGCCCATTTGTGAGTAACTGTTGATGACAATTATCACAGTGAGGCCAAGTAAAACTGTTATTTCCTCGTCTATACTTGCTTCGGGATTGCAACATGGCTATATTTGTCCAACTCCAACTAGCATTTCTAATCAAAAGTCGAATAATCAATCTTTATATGTGTATTTGGATTGCTACAGTACCTGTCTGAGAATGAGATATTTTCTGTCAAGGTATTATTATTATTATTATTATTATTGGAGCTTAAATTAGGGTAAGTGATCGCAGACACCCTTAATCTCATTTGGGATTAGGGTACCCGACCAACAATGAGTTACATTATACACATGTGTAGCCGTAGGAGTAGGCTCTGGTTGGCTGGCCGAGAGTATTATTATGTAAGCCTACATGTAGTCACCGGTTGTAAATGTCTGCCATGACATATCAAATAATAACGCAAAACAATAACAATAGTCTAGTTAACTAGTAGATAACAAACCTTAATCTCTCAGCCCTCCGTGTTCCAAAATAAGACATGAGGCCATTACCTTCAACGTAGCACATGCGGGAGCGATTTGCACCCGGCATTTATAAACAAAATTGACAATATTTTTAATAAAAACGATTGATTATTGTTATTTATAATATTTCTGCCAGACCCAACTACAATTTAAAAGCATATAATCCTACCTGAAACGGGTACAAATCATCATTTTTAAAATCGAGGCGTTAAGCCGTTACTAAGACCGCCATCTTTTTAAACGATACGCTGTCATCATGAAGGCGGGGCTAAATATAAGGCTTTTAAAACAGCCAATCAATAGGGCAATCTAAAGCTCTGTAACTACTAACTATGAATGGATTTCGATGGCGGTAAATGTCAGACAAAAACAACGCTTCATTAATTTAAACGCGAATATTTGGAGTTACGCGACAGTTGTGCCACTACATTGGCCTCTGTAAGTTTAATTAATCATAATAGCATAAACTTATCTCATTTTAAAGATGTTACATGCATTAATAAAGAAATTGAGTTTGCCACTTGGAACTAAAAAGGCATCCAATCGTAGCTAAAAACAAACACATCAGTATATCTCAACGTTTTTAGCTACGTTCTCGTAGTTGGTTAACTAGTAGCCTTTTAAAAAATACAGATTGTGTGATGTCATCCTTTGATGTTGGCGTACCATTATTATTTCAACTAGTGAACTACGGACAACGTGCCGCAACGTACTGCCAACCGTACATTATTTTATAGTAGATACATTTTTAACACAGACGACTTAGGTGTATAATATAATCCATTCTCGTACCCTGGGGTTGACTTGCTATCGCTTTATATAATATACATCTAATGATATAAAAATAATAATGACCAACGAATACGATGAATTCGGTCAATTCCATGGAAATTAATATGAATAATATTATAAAGAGAAATACCTGGTACATCCATACTTGGATCCCTGGAAGAGTACGGGGCAAAAAAGCTCGATTTCTTCTGATGGTCAGGATCCATCATTCATAAATATTTTCTAAAGTAGTTATAGGTTGTATTTTCAACAAGAATTCACCGAAAATTTGTCCTTCACACCATTTATTCACATGCAACCTCCGGGAGAGAACTCTAATCTCGCACGCGTTCGTAGCCTTTGTCATCAAGACTAGCTAGACACGTATCGTAATATATAGGCTAACGACGTTGATGCATGGAAATGAAATGGGGTTTAACGTCCTACTGTTCTGCTCCGAACTGGGCTAATAAACGGGCATACGCCATACAGTGTGCTATGAGGGAAATTTTGCCCGGAGAGCGGCACTATGGCCTACTCTTATATCGAATTCCAACTGTCATGGGATCTTTTACGTGCACGTCAATGTCTTTACGGGACCTCGGTTTTTCGTCCCATCTGAACGACTAGATGTCCATGTCAGGCCCTCCGTCCTGCATCATTGACAAGATGGAACCACTTCGGAAAATCTGGATGAACTTTCTCGGCCAATGCAGGGATCGAACACCCGACCTCCAGACTAGCGAGCCAGCGTCTTACCCACTTAAACGGCACTCAGCCATATAGGGGATACAAAAATGAATAATGATTGAAAAACAAAAGAAATAGTCGCAGCAAAATATTTACATGTAGCCAATACTAACAAAAATAAATTACATTTTGAAAACCATAAAATCCAATAAAATTTAATAAACATCAATCACATTTTCGGAAACTTGAAATAGACCGCGTGTCTTTAAAAAGCCGTAATACTGGGAGTTGAACATGTGAACTTACCCTGTTAGTTAGAAACATGAGACCACCGCCAATGAGACTTCCGGACAAATAGAGGGGGGGGGGGGAGAGAGAGAGGAGAGAGACTATTCATTTGTTGAAAAATAAATAATCACAGCAAAATATTTACATTTAGCCAATGCATTATATGATAACTAACCAAAATAAATTAGCCTACATTTAGAAAACCCTAAAATCAAATAAAATTTATATAAATATCATTCACATTTTCGGAAAGATCGTGTGCCTTTAAACAGCCGTAGTAGGGGGGTGAAAATGAGCCTTTCGAAAAAATAGGGGGAGTGGGGGGGATTCATTTGTTGAAAAATAAATTGTTTCCCTTCTGTGTTGCCCCCACGCAGCTACCAGTGCACCCATACTACTGCAGGCCTACGGCATCCGAGTTCACAAAGATAGATTTTATTACATAAAACACCCTTTTCGGGCAGCATGTATATTATACATTAACGTATGCATGATAAATACATTAAGAAAAATGGATGAAAAATACATAAAAAGTGGATGAAAAATACATAAAAAAATGGATGAAAAATATATAAAAAGTGGAATGAAAATTACATAAAAAGTGAATGAAATGTTCATTTATATACATAGAGGGAGTATGTACAAAATATAAACCAATGTTTTGAATATGTCAAAGTCTCTTGAACTAAATGTGAAGAGAGGTCTTTGAATTGTAGGTTATTTTTGGTTTTTATAGAGATATGGGCAGTTTGTGCAAAGAATGACAACCGAAGAATGACAACAATAAAGATATACATGTATACAAAATACTGAACAAAGAAAAACATTAATAGGCCTATACAACCAGAGATCATCATTTCGAAACCATCAACAAACAACTATCTTTACATCGCATGAAAAATATTCTTCGCTCGATAAAGACGAGAGAATCCTCGTCGAAACGTCGCTAAAATAAATCCTTCAAGTAACTTGTATTATTGTGTCGTGTGTTATTCTGATTCAGTTACTAAATACCGCTTCAAAACGTGATCTCGAGTAAAAAGGGAAACTCAAAATAAAAGGAAAAATACTTACCTAAACGGGATATTTTAGTGGAGGAAACCTTTTATAAGCTAGCTGTTATAATTAGTGTTCATTTAGGGTTTCATTCCCCCCCCCCCCACTCTCCCGTCAACTTTTAATTTTTTAACCATAAATATTTTTAAACGCAATTGGCGGGAATGGCGATCGACAGCCTTAGCACTAGGTATAAGCTAGAGTTTCCTGAAATATAACTCAAACATTTTGCAAAAGATGGATGGAGAACATGGAAAATCAATAGGGCCCATCCTCTCATTGTCCCAATGTTGCACATTCAATTTGAAAAAAAAAGTCTCCTAAAAACTGTAGCCTCGGTGCTCTATCTGTAACTCCGGAACGGAAGGTCACGGAACGCTGAATATCGATAGAGTTCATCCTCTCATCATGACCCTAATGGGTTTGAAAATGATGTTGCTGTTTCTAACGTGCATGATGGATACATCAGTGATTCTGACAATGAAAATGGTGATGATGAAATGACTCGGAAAACATTCCTTACTCCTGCCGAAGCCAAAGTCAAGTCCTTAAAAGCAAAGAGGTATGACCATGGCCAGCTTCAAATAGCACTATCTATGTACCATCCCTACGCTTATTGTTGGTCTTGTGTTGTAGTGTAAACGGACAGCGGAAGACACATATTATGGGAATATTGCTTTTCTGTGGAAGCACAAGCTTCCGAGGTACTGTCAAGTACATTTTTGACGACATTTCTTCTCCAACTGGTTGTACCTACTAAAGAATTGTTTGGATCATAACCAACATCCTGTCAGTAGTTAAAACGTTCCGACTGCTGTTCTTAGAACCCCCCCCCCCCTTCATGATTGTTTTCCATATCCCAGTGCGCCATAATCTGAGTCGACGTTTTATCGAGTTTCTTAATAACCCCATAAAGACCATTACCTATTTTTGTGCCATTTTCAACCCTCTGCACTTCACAACAATCCATCAGATCAAAAATATTCTGGTGCTTTACTTTTGAGTGTGTGTGGGTGTGAGGTACTATTTTGATTTTTATTTGAATTAACATGGATTGACCCCTGTATTAAAAATCTTTGAAAAAAAATTCAATGGGGTTTAATCTCAGGATGACAACTTGAAATCCTCCAACCTTAAGCATGCTATTTCTCAATCTGATTAAAACACAGATCCTATTTCGTTTCGTTTTTTATATTTCAATATTTTGTTTTACTTGTCTTTACTACACTAGGGTGTAGGCCATCGAAAGTATAAATAAACGAAACATAATATAGATCTGTATTTTAATCAGATTGGCTTTTTCTGGTTCTATGCCAACACACAGATGTAACAATTTAAGACCCATTTGAAGGAATTCATTTATTCAAATTTCGTAATTTCTTACTAAATATGATTGTATGATTGTATGATTGCATGTAGCATATATTATGTACAATGATGTAGTACAATATAAAGCTTTATAAAGATATATACAAATGTACAAAAAAATAATATTATTTAAAAACAACATATCTATATACAATTTTCTTCATTGTATAATTAAGAAACTTATTAGATGGAAATAATCCAAGTTTGACACCGAAAATAAACAATAACAATTTTCAAAACAAAAGCAACATTTTGTGCCAAATGGCCACAATCAACAGGCTTCATTATCTATTATTCTTTTGTAAGGACATACATGTACATTTTAATATTTCCATGCAATTCAAGTGAGCTAGGCTTCTGTGAAGTACCAGTGTAATCAAACAGTACATGTATGTTTAAACCAGGGTCCTCAATGTACCTGTCTAAAAGTGGGTCACCAGAGGTGGTTGTCAACTTACGGAAATAGGGTCAATAAGATTTGTAACAGAAACATGGTTTGTTATTATCCAGTACGAATATTATGGTAAGATCTGTAAATATTTAGAAATGTATTGGCTTATGCCACAGACCTAAGTGTTTTTAGTGAATAACACACTTGTTGGAACAAATTTAATGTAGGGGGTGCTGTACCTCAGTGAAGCGAATAAAAATGCTATCAGTTGGGGGCTTTTAAACTAATGAACACATATTTGCAAATATTTGCAATAACCCCCACTCTCATAACGGCTCTGCTTCTATGTATGTTTGAAATACTAATTCATGCATGATTTAGTAAATCTTGACTTTTCCAGTCTGGAGACTGTCAGATTGCATAATGTGATCTATAATTAGTCTTTATCAAGCAGCTGATGGTAGTACTGTAACTGTATACCATAGAATTGTGGACTGTTGATAAAAGTGCCATATAAAAGAGCTGGGGTAATGGTAATGGGTAATGGAATGTAATCATATCATTTTTAAAGTAATGGTCATGTAATGAGTAATGGAAGATTTCAAAAGTAATCAGTAATTGAAATGTAATTAATTATATTTTAAAAAAAAATGTCATGGTCAATTACATTTCAATTAGGTGTACATTGTAAGGCAAATATCAATATTAATATTTGCAACTGTGGAAAGCCTCAAATTGTAGCATCAAAGAAGTGCATGTAACTACTGAATTTTATCACTTTCCAAAAGAAAGTATACACTATGCATTTCGTGTTGCATCAACCAAAGTCATTTTCCATTGTATATATGTGGCATTTGGGTACAATGCCAATTTGTTTCGCTTTTTTACTTAGAAATGTTGAGTTTGGATGCAAGAGACAAACTCAGTAATGTTTCATCAAATGTTTTTAATCTAAACAAAACTTAATGTGTATTTTTAGTGTGTATACTTTCTTTTGGACATTAGTATATTTAGGGTCCCTTTTTAGACGAGTAAGCTTAAACACAGTGGATATGCAAATAGATGTAGATTGTAATCAGAGATTAGGGTTAATTAGAATTCAATCACTTAGTCAATCAATCAGATTAAAAGACCTATTACAGATTTCGCCAATCAATGGTCTTCAAGTGTATCTCATCATTTTGTGGTTACTTATATAAAAAAATTATATCCGATTTTATTTACCAGGAATGCTGAATAATTTTCCAATTATGCGATGTCAAGAGACAAACCAATTGGATTGATTATGAATTTTATCTGAAATTACTTGAAATCAAATGTAGTTATCTATACTATTAATTCATTTTTCAAAGCCATACAGTTACAACAACAGTTTTTATGTTAGAAAATTTCCTTTTGCCTAGATGTGAATGACAATTCATACAAAAAAAAAAAGCCAATCAAAGATTGTTTGAGCTTCATTTCATTGGTGCTCCATTGCAGAAAAATATTGTTGTGTTTTTAATGTCATAAAGTAATGGGTAATAGTAATTAATTACTTTCAAAGTAATGGGTAATGGCAATTAATTACGTCGTACATTGCTAAAAATGAGAAAGTAATTGTAATGAATACATTTAAAGATAGGTTGCCAGGCAACAAAACATACGCCCACAGCAGCTAAATCGTCCGAGCAGTCGACAAGGGTTGTCACATATTTATTCTTTTGTAGGTAATTAGGGGAATTTAATAGACAATTTCATACAGATGACATTATAATTTCCGTTGTTTGAAGGTTCACAAGGTTTTAGATCTAAAACCAGGGCCGTAACTCTGGAAGCAATCTACAGAAATTGTTCAAATTCGAAAGGCTTTTTTCGTTTTAATAATTCAAATAATGCATATGAATTTCATACAGATCGGATGATAACTTTTGCTGAAATTCAATAGGCTACTTCATTTCACTAATTTAAATGATGCATACATGTATCTATTTCAAACAGATCGGATGATAACTGTTGTCATTAGAGCGTTCACAATATTCAACAAAGTGAAACAAGGGCCATAACTCTAGATGTAATTAACGGAAATTGCTGAAATTCAATAGGCTTCTTTGTTTTACTAATTTAAATGATGCATATATATTTCATACAGATCGGTTGATAACTTTTGTCATTAGAGCGTTCACCAGGTGCAACAAAGTAAAACAAGGGCCATAACTCCAGAAGAAATTAACGGAAATTGCTGAAATTCAATAGGCTTCTTCATTTCACTAATTTAAATGATGCATATCAATTTCAAACAGATCAGATGATAACTGTTGTCATTAGAGCGTTCACAAGATTCAACAACGTGAAACAAGGGCCATAACTCTAGATGTAATTAACGGAAATTGCTGAAATTCAATAGGCTTCTTTGTTTTACTAATTTAAAAGATGCATATAAATTTCATACAGATCGGTTGATAACTTTTGTCGTTAGAGCGTTCACAAGGTGCAACAAAGTGAAACAAGAGCCATAACTCCAGAAGAAATTAACAGAAGTTATTGAAATTAAATAGGCTTCTTCATCTCACTTATACAAACAACATATATCAATTTCAAAACAATCGGTTGATAAATGTAGTCTGTAGTCAAAAAACTAACTATTCAAATGGATCAATTCTAACTTGCTATGGCACTTTAATGTTTCCACTGGTTTCCACTCATTTCACACCACCATCTTGTGTGTCTTTTTTGTCCAAACAAGTCCATTCTTTTTTTTAATAGTATCACATAGCTTCAGACAGTTGCATAAGGCTAGGTTAAAACATATACTGTATTACTATTAGTTTTCTTTCACACAGAATTAAAATTCATTAATATATAATCTGGGGTAGCTCCTCTAATATCACATGTTCTTAAAACTATAGTAATGTTGAATTGACTTTTATAAGCACATTTTCACAGATCGCAATAAAAATTGCAATGATATCACTTTTGGCTATAAAGGTCTTGCTGAAATATACACTAATTTATTCATTTCAGATTTATGTTCATTTGTTTTATGCATTTCGAGCACTTTGTAATTTCTAAAAACAATATGGCAAATATCACATGTCCTCCTTGAGTCCATTATGTGAACGTTCATATGTCCTTGAAGAGATTGAAGATTTCTGGCTGAATATGGACACAATGTACAAAAATGTCTTTTGTTTCGTATTGCAGATTTCTTACTGCTTGAAGATTGAATATTATTATCAACATCTTGCCCAGCAACTGCTTCAGTACCAGCTACCATTTCTGATATTTCATTTCCTGAAAATACATAAAGGAATCAAGAAAACTATTAACCCTTCTATTACGTGGGTGGCCTGGCCAGCACAATGAAAATTTCTCTCAATTTTGAAAATAAACTAAAAATGTCAGGCCAAGATATTGTCTGTCATTTACAGAGACCTTGTTTAATAAGTTATAATAACATTTACAATCATTTGGCTGCCTTATTGGACTTTACAAAAGAAACTCTGGATTGATATTCAGCCATCATCTTGAATCTGATTTTAGCCAACTTTTGGGGTTTTTTTTGGAGCTATACAAAATGGAAACATTTCTCTGGAACCAATTTTGCTTTAACTTTATTCCCATCTGAAGAATATACTAACTCAACTGTTCAGTGACCTTTAACCTTTCTATATATATAATGATCCTAACAACTAATATCAAAAAAGTTTGATATTGAAGAATAACTTATGATTTTATTAAGGTTGCATTACCGATATCTAAAATTTAGATATAGAGATGACAGTTCTTGCTATAATAGTTGAAAAATAGATAAAGAATAGGGAATATATTGAAAATTTTAGTCAAATTGCTTCATTCTGAGCGGAGTTATCATTGTTTGCAGAACAGTGTAGTCTAGATTGTTATTGCTACCGGTATTGTTGTTTCAATAATAAACTAAGTCCTGATTTTCAATTTTTAAATTAAATCATTAACTGCCAATCGTATTTAAATCTGTAGAAAATCAAAACCATCTGATTCATCATTTGTGAATTGTATGATGTGTATTGTATCAAGAATGAAGAACCAAGCAGACTGGTTTGATAAAAAACCAGCGGCTGCCAGGCAGGATACGCCCACATTTTCGAGAGATGGATAGAGAACAAGCTAACAAAAAAGTGATTTTTCCTACAATCAAGGGCCATAATTCTGGAAATTACAATTCGATATGCGCATATATCGAAAGGAACTGAGATCTTTGTGTTATAAACTTACATTTCAAGTTTCAACAAAATCGGATAAAAATTGTGACCTCTATAGGGTCCACAACCTCGATATACCATATTTTTACGCTATTTGAGAACGAACGGCGGCCATTTTGTCTGTCAATTTTTGGGCGATTTTCACAAAATTCAAACTTAACTGTCCTTAGGGTGGAACGGTAATATAATAATACGGTTTTTTAAATCGGATAAAAATTATGACCTCTAATGGGTCCACAAGCTAAAAACATGATTTTTCGTACAATCAGGGGCCATAATTCAGGAAGTTACGGTCCGATATGGGCAAATATCGAAAGGAACCAAGATCTTTGGGTTATAAACTTATATTTCAAATTTCAACAAAATCGGATAAAAATTGTGACCTTTATAGGGTCCACAACCTTGATATACCATATTTTTACGCTATTTGAGAATGAACGGCGGCCATTTTGTCTGTCAATTTTGGGCCGATTTTCATGAAATTCAAACTCAGTTGTCCTTAGGGTGTAACGGTGATATAATAATACGTTTTTTTAAATCGAATAAAAATTATGACCTCTATAGGGTCCACAAGCTAAAAACAGGATTTTTCGTACAATCAGGGGCCATAATTCAGGAAATTACGGTCCGATATGCGCGAATATCGAAAGGAACCGAGATCTTTGGGTTATAGACTTACATTTCAAGTTTCAACAAAATCGGATAAAAATTGTGACCCCTATAGGGTCCACAACCTTGATATACCATATTCTTTACGCTATTTGGGAACAACCGGCGGCCATTTTGTCTGTCAATTTTGGGCCGATTTTCACGAAATTCGAAATCAGTCATCCTTAAGGTGTAACGGTGATATAATAGAACGGTTTTTAAATCGGAAACAAATTATGACTTCTATAGGGTCCACAAGCTAAAAACGTGATTTTTCGTACAATCAGGGGCCATAATTCAGGAAGTTACTGTCCGATATGCACAAATATCGAAAGGAACCGAGATCTTTGGGTTATAAACTTACATTTCAAGTTTCAACAAAATCAGATAAAAATTGTGACCCCTATAGGGTCCACAACCTTGATATACCATATTCTTACGCTATTTGGGAACGAACGGCGGCCATTTTGTCTGTCAATTTTGGGCCGATTTTCACGAAATTCGAACTCAGTCATCCTTAGGGTGTAACGGTGATATAATAGAACGTTAAATCGGATAAAAATTATGACTTCTATAGGGTCCACAAGCTAAAAACATGTTTTTTCGTACAATCAGGGGCCATAATTCAGGAAGTTACTGTCCGATATGCGCAAATATCGAAAGGAACTGAGATCTTTGGGTTATAAACTTACATTTCAAGTTTCAACAAAATCAGATAAAAATTGTGACCTCTATAGGGTCCACAAGCTAAAAACGTGATTTTTCGTACAAACAGGGGCCATAATCCATGAAGTTTCGATCCAATACATGCCAATATCGACAGCAGCCGAGATCTTTTGGGGATAAACCTATATTTCAAGTTTCGTCGAAATCGGATAAGAATTGTGACCTGTAGAGAGTCCACAAACAATTGTGGACGGACGGACGTCCGGACGGACAGGGGCGACGGCATAATACGTCCACATGAAAATGTGGGCGTATAAAAATTACCTGATAAAGCAGTGACTTCATAAGGTTTTTCCTGAACTAATAGATGAATCTTTGGGAATTTTCTGTGCATTTCTAAATGTTCACTTAATGATTTCATATTCACAGTAGCATATTCTCCTTTACAATAATTACAGGAATACACATTTCGCATACCGTTAATAGCAAAACGACTTTCAATGATATGGAAATCGGAAAACATTTTCACAAAACAATCTTTTATTCCCATTTGAGCTTTAGCTCTTTCTATATTTTTGCCAATTTTTACACTAACAGGTCCAGGATAGTGATCATAATCAAAAGGACTTAGTGGATCTATGCTATTAATACCAACACTATGTTCACTTGTTTTAGCAGTTTCATCATGTTCAATTGATTCAGTTTTCACACCCGATAATATATTAGTTATAGGAATGAACCCCTTTTGACTGCTACTTAATTGAGCTGTCTGTATGTTACCACTTTGATACGTAGGTTTACTGAAAATCCTATAACTTCTACGCACTAAATCCTCTGAAGAAAGTATTTGTCCAACTTTGAGAGGATCCGGTTTAATGTCTGCATAACCTGACGGCCTGTCTTCCATATCATCTGTGTCATCAGATTCTGTTTTAATTCTTTTTATACTGACTAAATGAGTATCTTCAAGATGACCGCGTTCTCTTTTCACTGATAAATTATTAGTTTGGGCTTGTTTTGAAACAGAGTCTTCATCTGCATCAATATTCAAACTGCAAATGTCACTGATTTGTAGCTGATATCTCTGATCCTGTGCCAAAGGCAATGTGGGACTTGTTGGTTCTGTTTTAATTGATATATTATTTTCTGTAGCTTTATCAGGTATAGCTATCATATTTGAAGGGCCATTAGATGAAAAATAGACTCCTTCTAAATCAAAGTCATTTATAGAAGAGATAACTTCATCTGAATCTATTTCACTTGTATTGGTCTCAACAACAACTCGAGGTTTAGCAGGAGGTCTTTTCTTTTTCTTTGGTTTGTTGACCACAATATTGCCAGTTTTAATAAATGATTGCTCTGCTTCGGCTGTCCTGTTTGTTAAAACTTGTTTCCGTCTGCTACCACCAGAGGTTTGCTTAGCAGGAAAGTCCTTCAGGGCTGTTTTTAGAAGATTGCTAGCACATGGTTGCTTTGGCATCTCTTGGACAGCAACAATAGGACTGCAAGGTCTTTCGTCTAAGATTTCTTCTACCTGGGGGGGAGGGGGTTCTTTCTTTCGCTCTGTAAGCGAAATTAAATGTTCAAGTGTAGCAGATCCGCACGCCTGAAGAGGTAGGTAACAAGCCACATCTTCATTTTTCTTGTTACTACTAGATTTTGAGAAAAAGACCTCCTTTTCTGGTTTCTTGAAGACTTGTCTATTTGGTGCTTGAGAGGCATTTGACCTCTTTTCAATCCACTCAACTGTATTTTTTGCACCAAAACCAGTTTTCTCCTTATTAATTTCTAGTATCTCAATATCATCATCTATAGCCTTCTCTGGAATTACAGGTTTTGTCAGCATATTTAACAAAACTGACTTCCTTTGTAGTACAGCAGCTGTATCAAGATCTATCTGCTTTTCCATAGGCTTCTTGTTTGGATCATTCTCTTGTTTTAATGCACTGTTTAAGGGAATTATTATTTGATTGCTTTTAGGTGTAACTAAAGATTTAAGAGCTTGATTGGTAGATGGTTTTAAGTTTTTGTTAATTCCTTGTAATGGAATAAATGTCTTGACACCATCATGTGATAAAGTGTTGATTTTCCCTTGTTGAAATACAAGGTTACTGGTACCGGTCTTTCCAGTTGGTACTGTGGTGTTGTTAGAATTTATTGGTTGTAGCAGTAACCTCTGACCATCAGAAGTTTGTAGCACAATTTGACCAGGCTTTGGTTGCATTTGAGATTGAGCAGTGTTTTGTGTGGCACTGGTGGGAATCTTTAAAGGCGCTGACTGTTTTGAAGCTTGTAATACAGTTGAATTGGTAATATTTTTGGAGAGCATGGTGGATGGAATAAATATTGGGGCAGGGTTAGATGCTTGACCAGTAGTTGTCTGATTTGAATTTACCAACACTGGACCTTTCAGTACAGGAGGAGTCTGCAAGATAAGATTTCCTGCAGTTTGCGTATTTAAGTAAACAACTTGGCTTTTTGCTTGGTTATTAGGCTGAATATTGCGTACTTGATTATTTGAATTAGGAACCACCATACGAATTGTTTTAACAGCATTGGGTTGAGACATCATGACAGGACCACTAGTACTGGAGTTTGATGAATGTAGAATGACCTGACCTGGGTCTTTCGAGCCTACTGGTTTGAGGAATACTTTAGACTGTGGCGAGATAACTGACATATTTGAATTCGATAAAAAAGTTCCAACAGATCTTTGTATAGTGTTTTGTGGATTTTGTAATCTGAATACAATCTGTGTTGGTGCTGGTTGAGTAGTTGGTGCTGTTATAGGTCTAACACTGAAAGGTTTCGCTTCAATAGAAACTGGACTGCTACTGGTTATAGGAGGAATTACAATATAACTTGAGTTTAATCCCTTATCCCCATCTTTTGCAGCACTGTCATCTTTTCTTTCATCATTTAATATAGTTATATCATCATCATCATCATCTCCCAAATCTGGCTGTATCACCTGCTCATCAGCGCTAGTAAAAACATCTTTTGTTTTCATAGAATCCATGGAGGGATTAGTTAAATTGGCATCTTCTTCATCTGAACTTATATTCTCCTCAATTTCAAAATAGTCTTCATCATTATTCTTATTGCTTATCCCCCATAAATCATCTGTTTCTTCTTCAGCCGAATGCATTCCAACAATAGACAGTTCATTCTCATTTTGTTGGTCTTTAGGAGAATCCATTTTACCCACTAACAAACAACTTCTGGAAGAGAAAAATAAATCAAAAACCCAATTATTAAAGTTCATTATAACTTCGATTTAATCATTACAAATTCACTAGAATTAGTTATTAAATAAGTCTTTCACTCACATCAGTAAGGTGAATTACGACCTGATAGTAAATATTTAATATGGCGTGCTAATCCGCACAGTGTAAACTATATTTTAATGGATCTTAATCCACCTTAATTACCCTCCATTTATATCTATTTCATATTGTCTTATATATTTCTTTAATCACCTGTCTCTAGTATTCTTTGTTTTACACTTTAAATTGACCTTATAAATTGTAATTAATGTCTACGGACTAAAGCTTTTTCAGTTACCATAGTGTATTGTTTGTATAGACGATAGATTTGTAAGCGATGCATGGGGATATATAGACCCAACAAGCCAACAGTGAGGCTGATGACCCCGTCGAAATCATTAATCGCACATTTATTTTTGTCAAAAGTATCACGCAATCAAACAAATTATCACCTATACACTAAGTTTCATCACTCTCTATCAGATAGAATTAAAGTTATCTTGTCCCTAAGCATGGACCAATGAAATTGCTTAGAAATAGCTCGAAATGTTAATCATTGAACTCAGTCAAGACATTCACCTAATGAACAGCTACATCAAGTTTAAACATTCTACCTAGATAAAAGCAGAGTTGTTATGTTCAAAAGTCTTGACCAATCAAATTGCTTATCGATCCTTAGCCTAAGCAGAAAATTCTCATCAACAAACTTAGTCAAGGTAATGATATAATGAATCTATACACAGAGTTTCATCACTCTCACTTAATTAAAACCAAAGTAATCGTGACCCAAAGCATCAACCAATCAGATTGCTTATCTCTGCTGACCGTAAGCAGACAATGTTTATCATCGAACTCCACCAAGGCATTCACCTAATAAACACCTACGCCAAGTGTGAACATTATAGCTCAATTAGAATGAGAGTTATTGTGTTCCAAAGTCTCAACCAATCAAATTGCTTATTGATCTGCTTACCCTGAGCAGAAAATGTTCCTTATCGAACTTAGTCAAGGTATTGTTGTAATAAAACTATACACCAAATTTCATCACTCTCACTTAATTAGAACTAAAGTTATCATGTCCCAAAGCATCAACCAATCAAATTGCTTATCTTTGCTTACCCTAAGCCGAAAATGCTCATCTTCGAACTATATCAGCCAATCAAATTGCTTATCACTCTGCTTACCCTGAGCAGAAAATGCACATTATCGAACTTAGTCAAGGTATTGATGTAATGAAACTATGCACCAAGTTTCATCACTCTTACTTAATTAGAACTCAAGTTATCGTGTCCCAAAGCATCAACCAATCAAATTGCTTATCACTGCTTACCCTAAGCAGAAAATGCTCATCGTCGAACTCTATCAAGGCATTGACCTAATAAACACCATCCAAAAAGTGTGACGGACGGACAGACAGACAGACCCATTTTAATAGTCCCATGCTTTCTTCGAAAGGCAGGGGACAAAAAACAGAATTAGAGGGGTGCTTTCTAGAAACCTGTCACAAGGAGATCAACTTCAGATCACATCCCTAAGGACAGACTTGATTTACCTGTATTTGGATATTTGGAGACACAAGTTTATTTCAATTCCTATATCCACATTGGAGCTTATTTACTATTAAGCAGTGAACCAATAACTGTTACATTAACTGTCTGCCGTAAGTTATGTTGATTATTGTTAACTAAAGAATAGAGAAATATTAACAACCAACAAAAGTCTTGTCTTCATTGATTCAACCACGAGAATTCAAGAAAATAAACAAGGATTGCACGTGTACAAAATGATACTATTAAGGAACTAAGCATGGCTATTGACTTTAATAATGCCATCTCACATAAAGATAGGTTGCCAGGCAATGAAACATATGCCCACAGCAGCTTAATCGTCCAAGCAGTCGACAAGGGTTGTCGCATATTTCTTCCTTTGTAGGTAATTGGGGGCCTTTACAAGACAGTTCCATACAGATCAGATTATAATTTTTGCCGTTTGAGGGTACACAAGGTTCTACAAATTGAAACAAGGGCCTCAACTCTGGAAGTAATCTACAGAAATTGTTGCATATAAAGTGAAACAAGGGCAATAACTCTTGAAGTAATAAATGGAAATTGCTGAAATTCAATGGGATTCTTCTCCTTACTAATTTAAATGACGCATGTAAATTTCATACAGATCGGCAGATAAAGTTCAATAAAATCTAGACGTAATAAACAGAAATTGCTGAAATTCAATAAGCTTCTTCGTTTCACTAATTTAAATAATGCATATAAATTTCAGAAAGATTGGATGTCTTATCATTGGATTGCTTATCACTCTACTTACCCTAAGCAGAAAATGCTTCTTATGGAACTTAGTCAAGGTATTGATGTGATAAAACTATAGACCAAGTGTGCTCACTCATGGGCGGATTGTGGCCGGGAACCGGCTTGGTCTCCCGTGTCGGAGCTGTACCTTTTACTGACCGCGGAGCCTGGATGGGTGGGTCGGGGGGCTCTCCCCGGGGAAAATTTTGAAAAATGAACCCCAAATATGCGATTTGGTGGCATATATGATTATAATCTCTGTCAAATAATATATCTCATAAATCGATTAATTTAGGCCAAAACGCACTCATATTTAGCCAGCAGACTAGCTATCATCAAATTTTGCTGAGGTCTTTAAATTGAATTTTTTTTTGAGTTACGAACCATCAGCAGACATTTCTGGCGTATCCCCACAAACAGGGTGCAGGTGACTTAATAATTAGTAAATTTGCAGGCGACAGTGTTGGGTGAATCCGATGAAATTTTCGGATGAAATTCGGAATCCCCATTGCAGGATTCCGAATTCCGGCCCACACCCAAACACCTGGCCCAGAAAGTCTATTATACCAGCCCATTCCAGACTCCAGTGATGGCGTGGGGGCCTGTTAAAGCCACGTGGGGGCCTGTTAAAGCCACCGGCCACATACAACATGATCATTATCGCTCCATGGCCGGTCCAATACTCCCCCTCTCCCATATAATGTTCAGCAGAAAAATGTTTTTTAGACGAATTGGACAGAGCCCCTGCTCTCACTTAGTTATACCTATAAAGTTATCGTGTCCCAAAGCATCAACCAATCAAATTGCTTATTTCTGCTTACCTTAAGCAGAAAATTCTCATCTTCAAAATTCATCAAGGCTTTGACCTAATAAAGTTTGTACCAATCAAAGTGCTTATCGCTCTGCTTACACTGAGCAGAAAATGCTCATTATTGAACTTAGTCAAAGTATTAATGTAATGAAACTATACACCAAGTTTCATCACTCTCACTTAATTAGAACTAAAGTTATCGTGTCCCAACACATCAACCAATCAAATTGCTTATCTATGCTTACTCCATCAAGACTTTGACCTAATAAACACCTACACCAAGTTTGAACATTCTAGCTCAATTAGAAAGAGTTATTGTGTCCCAAAAAGTGTGACGGACAGACAGACAGACGAACCCATTTTAATTGTCCCCTGCTTTCTTCGAAAGGCGGGGATCAATAATTGAAGGAAATTGCTGAAATGCAATAGACCTCCGTTTCATAAAATTAAGTGATGCATATAAATTTCATACATATCGGATGATAACTTTCATCAATCGAGCATTAACAAGTTAAACAAAGTGAAACAAGGGCCATAACTCTAGAAGTAATTATTGTTAATTGCTGAAATTCAATAGGCTTTGTGGTTTCACTAATTAATCTAAATGATGCATATAAATATCATACAGATCGGATAACTTTTGGCGTTGGAGCACTCACAAGGCTCAACAAAGTGAAACAAGGGTCATAACTCTAGACATAATTAACGGAAATTGCTGAAATTCAATAGGATTCTTTTTTTTACTAATTTAAATAATGCATAAAAAGTTCACAAAGATCGGATAACTTTAAATATTAGAGTGTTCGCAAGGTGAAACAAGGGCCATAACTATAGAAGTAATAAGCGAAAATTGCTGAAATTCAATAGGACTCTTCTTTTTAATAATCTAAATGATGCATATAAATTTCATACAGATCGGCTGATAACTTTAGATCTGATGACAACTTTTGTCGTCTGAGCATTCACAAGGTTCAACAAAGTGAAACAACGGCCATAGCTCGAGACGTAATTAACTGAAATTCAATAGGATTCTTCTTTTTACTAATTCAAATAATGCATATATATAAAGTTCGCAAAGATCTGATGATAACTTTAGATGTTAGAGTGTTCACAAGGTGCAACAAAGTGAAACAAGGGCCATAACTATAGAAGTAATAAACAGAAAATTGCTGAAATTCAATAGGATTCTCCTTTTTACTAATTCAAATGACGCATATAAATTTCATACAGATCAGCTGATAACTTTAGATGTTAAAGCATTCACAAGGTGCAACGAAGTAAAACAAGGGCCATAACTCTAGAAGTAATAAACGAAACTTGCTGAAATTCTTCTTTTTATTACTTTAAATGACGCATGTAAATTTCATACAGATCGGATGATAACTTCTGATGTTAGAGTGTTCACAAGGTGCAACAATGTTTAAATAAGGACCATAACTCTAGAATTAATTAATGGAAATTGCTGAGATTCAATAGGCTTCTTCATCTCACAATGAAAACAACATATATCAATATTAAAACAATCAGATGAAAACTTAAGGTGTTAGAGCGTTCACAAGAAATTGTGTACGATGGACAGACGGACGCGACAGCAATATACGTCCACATTTCCATGTGGGCTTATAAAAATTAACGGAAATTATTGAAATTAAATAGGATTCTTCATCTCAGTAATGTAAACAACATATATCAAATTCAAAACAAACAGATGATAAATGCGTTCTGTAGAGTGTTCACAAGAAAGTGCGGACGACGGACCGACAGAGCTACAGACAGAGGCGACAGCAATATACGACCAAATTCTATGTGGGCGTATAATAATTGTTTAGGAATTTAATTTACAGAAAATAATCATTTCATATTAATCATATGGAGGCCTGACTAACTGGCCTTGAGGTCATCCTTATCAGTGATGAAGCGGCCAAGCTTCTCCTTATGACAACAATCAGTGTGTATAAATTTCTTATATTTTATAAATCAATAGCAATCAAGGGCAAGAACTCTAAAATAAATCCTTGGGTTCTTCATCTCATGAACATAAACAATGTGTATACATGTAAATTCAAAGATAATTTGAGCCTACACAGAGTTTTTTCAAATTGGTTTTAAGGGAAAGGGAAAGAAATTCAAGTCAATGAGATAAGAGCCTCAAGAGCATCCACAAGCTATTGTGGACAATGGACTAACAGACAAGGGTGATGACAATATATAAACCTAATTAGGGCGTATAAAATTTATCCACAAGTAATTGTGGGAAATGGACTGACGGGCAAGAGTGAATACAATACATAACTTAATGTGGGCGATTAAAACTAATGGGAAAATATTGACTGAATCTGGACACATCTGTACTGGAAAGCTACATTCTTACATGTAGATGGTTGACTTTGAAGAGAAATTAAAATGAATCTAAGTAGTTATATTAAAATAAAAGGGAAGTAAAAATGTTGACAGTCAATCAATTTACATATAATATATAATCCAATGTCCAATGATGTGTTTTAGTAAGTAGGCCTATCACTTATCTTGCTTGAAATAAATGCCTTATACAACCTAATATAGGCCTTATTGTTGATGTAAATTATTCATGACAATTAGAAACAAAAATGTCATGACCCAAGTAGGCCTACTGTTTTGTGTAATTATAAATATGGCAGTCTAATAATTATTTTTTAATACATATTTTAGATATACTATTATTTAATGGCAAATTATACAAAAATGTCATGACAATATTATTGGCATATCTCTTCAAAAAGTTTTGTTGGGCAAAGAATACAAACTGAACGAAAACTAAAGTACCGGTATATGGTTCCTACGACATTTCTATTCCGTTCTGAATGCGTTTGAATTCTGATATACCACATGTATCATAGTTTATAATATAGGTTTTAAGGCAATAATTGATGATACATATATTATTAATATTGTTTGTGAAGTATGGGATTTATTATCAATAAGAGATTTCTAATGTAGAATGTTGTCTGTAATGTGCCTAATGTGCCTAATGACGACTGGGGAGTTACAGCCTTGTATAACATGCGAAGTTCAAGTTGTGCCTCTGCCCAACTATGATAATGACAACCCGTTAGTGCATATATGGCGTAGTAGCTGTTGCACCTAGCACGTTGCTGATATGGTGTGTAGTTAATAACGTACCTCTAAATTGTAGAAAAATATAACATTTTAGCAACAATGTATCGATATTCTTGTTAAAATGGCGGTCAGGCTAAGTATAGTCGGGACGAGTGACGTATGCAAAATACCCAATTTCATTGGGTGATAGTTTTCATTAACATATTCTTCATCGAGCATGCCACAATTTAAGGTCAAGGTCTTTCCCTAACGGACGTGCTATATAGCCTGTAAAATAAAAATTATAAAGTTATAGAATTAAATCTCCAACTTATGATTTATGTAGAATATTCAGTTCTCCCTAGCAGTAAAATTAATTTGTTTAAACTAAACACCTATGGCTATATATATGTATATTTTTATCAAAAAAAATTAACCGTCCTCAAGTCGCCGAAGCCTCGCATGCGATATCGGTTGCAAAACCTCTTCAGATTGACAATTGTTTTAATACTCGAAGGAGAAAGTTTCTTGGCTTCATTGGGCCTAGCTAAATTATCAGTAACGCGTAGGTTTACAAATAGGTCATGGTGCAACTGTAAACGGCAATCGGCCTTGGAAGTGTTCGGTACATTGCCGTATGAAGAACACGTGGTTTCGATGTGTCCAGACCAACCAGGCGCTAATTTTTTTGTTCAGCTTCTCGGTGGATATGGCAGACGAAACGGGTCAACCCATTTTAACTGCATCATGCTTCGTTATTGGGTGTGCGTGGAATGATGATAATTGACATTGTAACACCGTCGTACGTATATTTCCAGTCCCAATCCGTACACCCGCCGGTAACCCGTTTCGTCGGTATATCGCATACATTTCTAGTTAACAGTAATAACAAAGGCTACAATCTTTATGATTATCTTTTAATATGGGTTGTCTATCTCAATGAAATGAAGAATTGTTTTGATTGACGGCGGGAGTTTGAAATGCTACTCTCTGTTTTAATGTGGAAGTTTTGTAGGCCCTTCTTGATTTTGGGGGTTGGGTGGCGCTGAATGGTTAGCACGTGCGCGCTGTACCATAAAGTCTGTCATTGAGTCAACTGGCGTGGTTTCGAATCCCCGGTTGTACGTGGCAAGGAGTAGGGTCGCCTGTCCAACCTCGTGGGTTTTCTCCGGGTCCTCTGGTTTCCTCCCACTGCTAAAGACCCCTACGCACAAGCGAATTATTGAAATAAAATTAAACCATGTGTTCGTCCCGAAATGACCTAGTTTGTGTTGAGTGGACGTTAAACACTCCATTTCTCTCTCTCTCTCTCCCTTCTTGATTATATTATGAAAATCAGTTTTGTTGGAGTTGTAATTGAGATGTTATAGTTTCTTCAAATTTTTAAACATTTCTACATAGATAATTAGATTGCATTTTAAATAATAAAACAGTCGATCGAAGCACGTACTATATATAACATGTGTAAGAATTTAGTAAAACTATATTATTTTCATTAATTACTTCATTATTTGTATTTCTGAATGGTTAGCGTGCGCGCGCTGTATCATACAGTCTGTCATTGAGTCGACTGGCGGGGTTTCGAATCCCCGGTTGTACGTGGCAAGGAGTAGGGTCGCCTGTCCAACCTCGTGGGTTTTCTCCGGGTCCTCTGGTTTCCTTCCACTGCTAAAGACCCCTACGCGCAAGCGAATTATGTAAATAAAATTAAACCATATGTTATTCCCGAAATGACCTAGTTTGTGTCGAGTGGACGTTAAACCCCATTTCTCTCTCTCTCTCTGTATTTCTGAAAGTTATAAAACTAACATTTTTTCCTGGTTATCAGGTGAATAATATTTACTGATGCTTAGTATTAGCTTCCAGGCCTGTCACTAGTGTCAGAACGAATGTCTTTGTGTGGGAGACTGGGGAGCCACAGTAGCACAGTGAGTAAGATGTTGTTTCGCTAAGGTCCCGTGTTCGACTTCGATCCCTACGTTGGCCAAGAAAGTGCAAGGGACACCATATTATAGTTGTGTACTGTGTACACTTTGGCATCACTGATCTATTTAATACTACAATATAAATTTTTATAAATCAGTGATTGGCATGGACTTAAAAGAACCCTTGGCAGATGGAATTCGATATAAGAGTAAGAGTAGGCCTAGTGCCACTGTCTTGGCAAAATTTCCCCCATATTAGTACACTGTATGATGTATGCCTGTCTTAATAGCCCAGTCAGAGCAGGACAGTAGGACATTCAACCCCATTCCATTTTATTTTATTGGGGGAACTGTCAGCATCAAACTGGACCTTCCCATTGACAATCGTTAAACTAAGGAACATTTTAGCCTAATTATTGCACAATTAAATGTATATAATTGCAAAACATAAACATATATTGAATGGAATGGGGCTTTACATCTTGTCAACACATGCATAACGTATTTTATGTTTTATATGACATGGTAATTTTCATTCTATGGCTCTGTGTGAAATTAGAGGGAGGAGAATTTAGCCCAAACAGCATCTATCAGCCTGATTTTATTTGATTTTTGAACTTGCAAATAGATATATATGCCATTGTGTAAACTGGTGAACCATTTCCCCATCCAAAGGACAAGGCAAAAGCAAATATAAGCAAATAGTACCAAATAACAATCTGATGCACAAAGAAAAATGATACCTTCTTTATTAATTTTTAATACTTTTTATTTGAAATTGAAATTGTTTTTAGTATTGTATTATATGAGTCAAACAGTTAGATACTTCCAGTTAAATAATACTGGTAGTAAATTTATGTTCTTTGTTGTTCATGAAGGGTTGTAGCAGCTGGGGAACATTTGGTCTTACATTGAGAGAGAGAGAGAGAGAGATGGGGTTTAAGGTCCACTCAGCACAAACTAGGTAATTTCGGGACTAACGTACGGTTTAATTTTATTTCAATAATTCCCTTGCGCATAGGGGTCTTTAGCAGTGGCAGGAAGCCGGAGGACCCGGAGAAAACCCACGAGGTTGGACAAGCGACCCTACTGGGGAATCAATTATATTTAGAGACCAACTAAAGAAATTTAATACAGGGTATAATAAGGTATTATCACTTTCATAAAGGGAGTTAAGTTAAGGAGGTTTTTTTTATGGTCATATTATATTTTCAATATAATCTTGAGAAACAGCGTCACTATCAGGCCTGTTGAGTGTAGATCTGTCTAACTTTATTGTGTCTAATATTAAAGATACATTATGTAAGATTTAGATAAAGAGCTGTCTATTCTTGCTATCATAGTTCAAAAATAGATAATGTAAAATGAAAATATTGAAGATTTTATTCAAATTTCTTCATTCTGAGCAAAGTTGTCACTATTTGTAGTTTTGTCAAGATGTGTGCATAGTTGTAACCACGGCACTGGTATATTCAAGACTTAGCCTCGCTTTCCCATTTTTATATTAAATTTTTAAATGGCAACCGTTCTAGTTTAGTTAAAATCGAGAGTTGATCACGGTCATGTTTTGTTAATAAATGTCAAATTTATAGTTTATATAACATTTTAGGCCTAAAGAAATACCTGCAATAGGCAGATTTAGCTCTTGCATAATGTATGTTTAACTTTATTGTTCTAATATCAAATTTACAGTTAAAGGATAGAATTCAGATTCACGTTGAAAATGTCAAAACTTCTTTCGGTTCAAAGATAATATATAATGGACATACCACAGATTTTATGTTCAATTGTCCTCCTGAAATAAAGTGGTTGTCTTGTAAAATAAATGTAATTAATTTTGAATTATATTTGGAAAATAATCTTAGACTCTATCAATTGCTCAAAATTAGAGTAAGATATTAGAGAAAAAGAGAGAGAGAGAGAGAAATGGGGTTTAAAGTACACTCGACACAAACCAGGGCATTTCACGACAAACATATGGATGGTTAAATTTCATTTCAATAATTTGCTTGTGCACACGGTTCTTCAGCAGTGAGAGAAACCAGAGACCCAGAGAAAACCCACGAGGTTGGACAGGCAGGCCCAGAAACCACGCCAGTTGACTCAATGACAGACCTTACGATACAACATGCTAACCATCCGCCCCCATTAGAGTAAGACATTATAAGCATCAGTGTTTGTAAACCTCCTTGAAAATCACGCAAAAATTTGTATGACTCATGAAAATCAATAGGGTTCGTTTTGTTATGATACCAAAAATTCATACCAAATTTTAAAAAACAAGCCAACAGTGAGGCTGATGTCCCCCGCCGAAATAGGAAAATAATTAGAGGACACATATAAATTTATCACAAATAAGCGGAACGGACAGACAGACAAACAGACAGACGGACGAACCCATTTTAATAGTTCCCTGCTTTCTTCGAAAGGCGGGGGACAATCAAAGTAGGAGAGTTATTGTTTTCCAAAGTCTCGACCAATCAAATTGCGTATCGCTCTGCTTACCCTGAGCAGAAAATGCTCATTATCAAACTTAGTCAAGGTATTACTGTAATGAAACTATACACCAAGTTTCATCAATCTCACTTAATTAGAACTAAAGTTATCGTGTCCCAAAGCATCAACCAATCAAATTGCTTATCTCTGCTTACCCTAAGCGGAAAATGCTCATATTCGAACTCCATCAAGGCATTGACCTAATCAACACATACACCAAGTTTGAACATTCTAGCTCAATTAGGAAGAGAGTTATCGTGCCCCAAAGTATCAACCAATCAAATTGCTTATCTCTGCTTACCCTTAGCGGAAAATGCTCATCTTCGAACTCCATCAAGGCATTGACCTAATAAACACATACACCAAGTTTGAACATTCTAGCTCAATTAAAAGTTATCGTGTCCCAAAGCATCAACCAATCAAATTGCTTATCTCTGCTTACCCTAAGCGGAAAATGCTCATCTTCGAACTCCATCAAGGCATTGACCTAATCAACACATACACCAAGTTTGAACATTCTAGCCCAATTAGGAAGAGAGTTATCGTGTCCCAAAGCATCAACCAATCAAATTGCTTATCTCTGCTTACCCTAAGCGGAAAATGCTCATCTTCGAACTCCATCAAGGCATTGACCTAATAAACACATACACCAAGTTTGAACATTCTAGCTCAATTAGGAAGAGAGTTATTGTGTCCCAAAAAGTGTGACGGACAGACAGACGGACGGACAGACAGACGGACAGACAGACGGACGAACCCATTTTAATAGTCCCCTGCTTTCTTCGAAAGGCGGGGGACAAAAAAAATCTGTTAAAACTTTAGCCTCTATTGTATCTTCAGAAAAATTGTCTTACTCACTGAGTCCCTGCAGCTCCCAAATTTGAAAACAATCCATTAAATGCTGTAGTCTCTATCACATTCACAAGCGAATTGTTGACCGACAGATAGAGGCGTGGGTGACATTATATGCATTACTTACACGTTTAAATATTCATTTCATATTATCTTGGAGGTAGTCATTTACTATGCAGAAGGATTTTTGTTCATATTTTATTCCAAATTTGGCTTAGTCAGACCAGGAGGTCCTTTGTAAATTTTATGCCCTCAAAATTTTAATATATTGTATGGCAGAGGCCTATACCCGTCTTCATTAGCTCGGTTGGTGCAAGAAATTAGGACACTAAACCCCAGCGTCTTAACCACCAAGCCTCCTTTTTGTTTATAACTTCCTTAGTTATGCCTGTCTATGTCTGTCATTCACATCTCTTGTTAGGACATTAGAAGACAGTAATCCATATTTTTTTATAAATTGATATTAGTTGTGGACGAATTCATTCACTTGATATATACAATTGTTGTTTAATGTTCGCAATGTCTGTGTAGTTTGAGTGTCTTACCTGTGGGTTTGTCTTATGTGTTTCGTTTGTGTGGGGTGCATTCCTCCTGCTTTTACTATTTGAAACAAAGAGGTCTTTATAATCACCTCAAGAGTTATGTCCCTTTGGTAGTAAATCTTTTTAGAACTTATAGCCTGCAATTATTAACCTTTCTGAAATTTATATCTATCCTGTCCAAAGAAAAAATCCTATTGATTTTCAATGACACTGATTATTCTCCTTTGTTACAAAAGCTCTAGTTAGCACCTTGGAGACTGTTTATGATTTAAATTTTTTGAAGAATTTTATGACTTATTTAACTCATAACCATTTGGATGACTTTGCTGTTGGTTGGTGTAGGTTTTGTTGCCGTGCAGCCTATGTCTGTTTAGAATATGCATCATATTCATATTCCTCTTTGGGGATTTCCCTGATTTTTGCTGTGAATTCTGCCTTCAGTTCACCTATCATTTGAGAGTTGTTCTGGTGCACATTATCCTTGAGATACCCCCAGGGAAATCCCCAAAGTGGAATGTGTTTGAGTAATTCACAATTGTGCGTTGGAGAATATTTTGGAAAGAACATTACTTTCATGCTAAGATAACTGAAACTTTGGGGAATGATAGTATACAGATTGAAGTCTAAGTCCAGCAAATTTGCTGGACCTTTGTAAGATTTAATAAAAATTTTATGGGTTCTCTTTTTTTGGGGTCACCCTGAAAGTTTCAGAAAAATTTGATGAAAACTCTGGCCTCAGTCATGTGGTGTGGACAAGCTTGACAAGCATTGTGAACAGGTTTCAGCAATAAAGGGGCATAACTCCAAAAATATTCAGATTTTCATGAAAAGAAACAGGGCTCTTGTCTTGCAATTTGTACAGATTTCCTGAAAGTGTCAGATAAATCTGCTCCAAACTCTGGTCTCTGTTATGCAGACAAGCATTACAAGAAGCGAGAACAGGTTTCGTCCAAAAAAGGTGCATAATTCTAAAAATATTAATCCGATTTTGACGAAAAGAAATAGGGATCCTAATAATACCAGTTTTCTGAAAGTTCCATAAAAATCTGACCTTAACCTTAATTGCTTTAAGAAAGTTTGAAAGGATGATTACAATATATGTCAACATAAACATGTGAGCCTATAAGAAAATGCACTTGGAATATGGTTGAACCTCGCAGTACAAATATTTCTTCAGACAAAAGAAGATAACCATTCTCTTAACATTAATTCTTGCATAAACAAACTGAATGCAGACATTGGTAAGAATCAAAATACAAATCAAATAGAAATGTGCAGTGTTTAAAAGGATTATATTTGAAAAACATGGGGGAGCCATACTCGCAGTGTTTTGTTTGATTATACCTAATTCCACCTAACACTGCTATAAAGGAAGCAAATTTCTGTTCCAAATTATGACTAGTCAATAGTCCGATTAATAACCAATAGATAACTGCGTAACAATATCATTACGCTTTAAACAGAGCTCTAAATTGGACCATATATGTTTACATAATGTTACATCATGACTCACGATTTTATTATGCCCAATTAACAAGCGCATAGAATATTGCAGAAAAACTAATTTTGTGACAAACGAGGCTATCAAATCAAATACAATGTAAACAATACAGTTTGGAGACAAACAATAATTTCACCGTTTTTAATACCTTAAATCACTGTCCAAGTTTTAGGGAAGACCCCAGATTAAACAAAGGGCTGTTATGTTGGTTATGTTGCTGTATTTGGGATAGATTTGATAGATACACTCCCTCAAAAGCTCAAGTATCAGAAGCCAATCCAGCAATGGCCAGAGAGGGATTTCTCGGGCCATTGCTTCAGGGATATGGGGGAGCCGACTTGTAAGAGTTGGGGTATTGAATTAAAAAGCAATTGATCCATTGTAAAATTGATATACAAACTTTATTCATTTTACCTATGACATGTTATGAATAAGTTACAATTTACAATGTCTGATGAAGGCTATTTGTCTTGATGTTAAATATTGAAGACTGATATATTTGTATATTTATATATACAGTTATTTCTCTATAGAAACAACATTATACATGTAATTATACTTTGGTATTTTAATTATAAGGTTTAGTTTACAAAGAGGACATGCAAAATGCTCACAATTCACAAATAAAACATAACAGTGTACAAAGATAATATATAAGTTTGAATTTAAATTTACACATAAATTAAAAGGAAATATAAAGTTTCTCATTTGATCAGGAAAAAAAATTCACTTTGTGCTTTTTGTTCATTTTCTAGATAGCTTATCACAGCATGGAAAATTACAGGTTGCACTGATAAAGGCACAATATAATAATCATACATTAATACTGTTCTTGCATTTTTTTTCTTTAAATTATTGCATATTTTGATCTTATGTCTGTAAATGTATTAATTTAATATTAAATGCCTCTTGCCAAAATGGTTTTGAATTTTAAAAAAGCAATTTTTCACATTCCGAAATTTCATTTGATCAAAATAGTCAAACAAAACATTTAATTGTATTAAAAATAAATAAATTTGATTTGTTGAATAAAATTTTGCTCTTATAAAAAAAGGAGACAATAAAAGAGATAAAGCACTCAAATAGATTTTGTAATATATTTGATTTAAAACAAAAATATTGTAGCAATCAATTCATTAATGTCATGCAGATTAATGAGAAATTGCTGAAGTAATTTATATGAAAATCTATGACACTGTTTAGTGTTTAAACAGATTGGTTTTGTTTGATATGCTTAAATTCATGAAACTGAAATAAAGGATTGTACCCTATGGTATCACCCGTTCGTTCATATAATGCATGACCATTGCCATATTTAAAACATGTCAACACCACATAAAACATAGTACTCACTGACAGCGAGTCTTCCCCTGAGTCAATAAAATTATTGGTTTTAATTATCATCCATTATATACATGTTTATACAAAGAAAATGGCCATGCCTCTTGCCATTTGTCATATACAAATACATTATATATATATATATACTATTATTTATAATATATATACTTAATTAACATTAATGTAAACTAGTTTTTGGCATTCACAACATTTTGTCTTTGATTACTCTGATATTTGATGCACAACATTTTCTGTTCTTGAACAAATACGGGGATTAAATTTAATTATCTTTAACATCAGTAGAATATTGCAGTTAACATTCTTACATATGGCATCGAAAGAAAAGTTTAAGAATGTTGCCTATTCTAAGGACGTTTATGATAAAATAATATCCCGTTTAATCACTTCAAATGACCATCTTATTCAATCTTGTCGACTTTAGCAACTATTTTGTTTTCCCACATTGGTAAGACGGCATTATCATCACTTATTTGTTCAAAGACAGCACCTTCCCCACCAAACTCATCACTATCAGTCTTGAAGAAATATCTGAAATTATGAATAACATCATATAAACAAATGATAAATTTAAAGCAACTCCTTGACAGACCACACCATTTACAGGACATAAAACGTAAATCAAAAATAGTGCTATAGAAAATAAGAGAAAAGGTCAATTTGAAACAGCTTTTCCGCTGATTCCTAGCAGTATTAATACCCATTTGAATTTAGCAAGAAAATATAGTTGGTATGTAAATGCAAATCTCAACATAAGTCTTGGTTATTTGTTTTTACTCGCTTTTTCTCATTCAGCTTTTACGGTTCCCAAATCATCTCACTGAACAATCAATCTTACAGTGGAAAGGCATGGATTTACACCTCCGTGGAAAAATCATTATCTTATAAAATATAAATCACTCTACAATAATGTCATATGATACTTACTTAAAGTTTCCTTTCTTTGTTATAAGAGTTTTGAATTGGCCTAATGTTATATTACGTCCTGGTAAAGTATGACGATATGGTATAGGTTCTGTTCCGAAATATATTCCAATTACAGTGGTATTCGATGATGAGGTAGATACGTTGGCATTGTTTGATTTATTAGATAGCACTGATCGACTGTAAAAATTAGAAAAATACAGATTAAAATATAAAAATACAGATTAAAAAATTATAAAAGTACAGATTAAAAAATTCTATAAAAGTACAGATTAAAAAATTCTATAAAAGTACAGATTAAAAAATTCTATAAAATTGTTATATTCTATCAATAAATAGTAGCCTAAACAAATATAATTATTCTTATACAGAAGTAAAGAACTACTGGTTTCTACTACTCAACCATTTTTGCAATTTATTTCTATACAAATACTTACTCTAAGGTTTGACTTCCTGATCTGTCAAGATCGGATGGTACAGTTTTAGCCGATGGCATTGTCCGCACCTGAGACGAGCAAGACTGCATTGTATGGCCCTTTGACACACCAGTGAAAGATCTGAAATGAATTGTTAACATAATATTTAAAGAATGGAACATAACTTGCAGAAAAAAACTAATATTTCAAATCATTTAGTAATGTATATTGATTTTTATCAACATAGTATATTTTTAATGGATTGGGGTCGGATCGAAAGGTAGTGAGGGAAAATATTAAGGTCACTTTATGAGGGTTATGATATTTTGGTTAGTATTGTACATGTGACAGAGTAGCCTATGCTACTTCATTGTTGTGTATTGTTAAACAGACTGGAAATGCTGACGAGACGTAATGCAGCGGAAATATTTCTGATTAATGTGCCTGGTTTAGAGGCATTGTCACGCGTTGCTGTACAGGCCTTGGCTGATTTTTACTGGACCCTGCCCACTGGAAACAATAGGCCAGTCTCAGGGTGGCAGTGAGATTGCATCCAAATCTTTGGGCGATGGCTCTGGTGCTCATGACCTTTTGAATTAATGCAATGGCAGATATCGGTGAACAACGAAAGTCCTTATGAGTTGTGTAAAACTGTTATGAAAATATATCGATTTGAAAACCTGCACAATCAATCTGGGACTCCTCCTTTAAAGAGATTTTTCAACTTACTTTGACTTGATTGGTGAACCAGGATAATCTTCCAGCCTTCTTTTTGCCTCTTCTAGCTGAGTACGGGTGTTAGGATGTGGCGGCAATGGCATCATAGTATCCTGTGCAAAAGGTTGACTGGGCATAACTTGACTTGGTGGTACCCAAGACTGTAATGTGTTACCACTTCTTTCCACAGACGTAGAACGGCTATTTGTATGTGTGCCACAGACTTTCTTAGATCTGCACAAAAAAAAAAAAATTGAAAATATTAAAATTTCACACTTATCAAAATGGTTACTTACATTCCCAGGTCAAAAAATCCATATTAATTTGTTCAAAAATGGGGAAGATGGAGTAACAAATAATGTAAAGCGGGGGACACACTAGCGGAATCATTCGGCTGAAATGTTCAACTGGATCAATCGCCTAGTGTGTCCATATGATTTGCTCAATTCAAACATGTTTGATATATTCGGCCAAATTTTCATTCAGCGCGTTTATATTTGCTGAAGACATTGCTCGATTGTAGAATTCATTAGCCAATCACTGGCATCGAGATGATTTTTTGGAAGACAAAATGGCGACTATTATGGCTTTATAACCGCCAACGTCTTCCTCGACCAATGTCAAACAAGTTTGTTGAAGCAAAAAAAAACCTGTGTGTCTCGGTAACGGATCCAGGTTTTTGCCCAATCACTCCTGTTATCCCACCTCTTTATATGCCGACGCATACGGCGTAAAATTTAAAAAAATCCTCCGCTGCAGCTATTTTTTTTTCTTTTTCTTGGTAGCGGCCATGTTTTATGTGACATGAGGAGATGTAAACGACTGGTGAATCTGGTGAAGAATTTGCCTAGTGTGTCCACTTCGGATGAATGAAGTCGGCTGTAATTTGCCCCGAATCATTCACCTAGTATGTCAGCCAGACAATACATATCTATTGCAGATATTCTTATAACAACAATCACTGGACATTCATATTTTGACCACGGCATTCACCTAATAAACACCTACACCAAGTTTTGACATTCAACCTCAATTAGAAAGTTATCGTGATATGAAGTCTCAACAAAAAAGCAGAAAATGATCATCAAGGTACATGTTTATAAAACTATACACCAAGTTTTAATCAACGTTATCATGCTCTGAAGTCTTGATTAAACAAATTGCTTATGGCTCTGCTTAATCTGAGCAAAAAACGGCTATCATCAACCAGTCAAGGTGTAATGAAACTATAAACTAAATTGCTTATCTAGCCTTAGCCTAAGCAGACATTGATTGTCATTAAAGTGTGATGGACAGACAGATCACCCATATTTTAGACTCCCCGGCTTTCTTTGAAAGACGTGGGGACAATAACTTTTCAAGCACACAAAGTGAACTGATCATACATAAATACATGTAAACAGTAATAATTTACCCTTGCTTATGGGATGGTAAAGAAGCACTGGCTGAATGGTTAAGCCGAGCTGCATGTGATTTGCGATTACTGGAACTTTTATCGGAATCTTGATAGCCACTTGATGGTTCTGCAACACGATCACTCTCCAACATCCAAGAAAGAACCCTGCAATGACAATAGCATAATCATTAATGTTTAATTTTTTTAATATAATTTATAAGCTTATCTAGTATCTGTTTATTGTTTATCATTGGCTCAATGGGTCTGTAACTGTAGGAGCACAGCAAATATATCACATGCTAATATTGTACAATCGTTTGAAAGCAAAGCAGGTGTAACTGATAATACAAATTAGCAGGTCTCAGAAATTAGGCAAAATATTCAAAAAGAAATTTAATAGCATTTGTCGGGTATGGAAGGTATTAATGTAGATAATATTATAATACATGTAATTAAAATAAATTATTATATTAATTAAAATAATCTTTTATTATAATCAAAATTAATGGTTATCTATTAAAGAGTTTAAACTTATTAAAATTGAAATTAAAATCTAATCAGAGTTTTTAATTAAGAATCCTTTTCAAGTTCAAATTTTTAGGATTAATTAAAAGAAGCTGCTACATGTATACTTTAAAGTATGACCATTTCTGTAAAGCTATCAGACTAATCCTAATTTTACCATCATAAAAGGGAAGTAAACAAATTATCATTGACTCTATTTCTAATTTTTTTAACGTTATGCTTTTCTCTTTTCATGAAACACAAGAAATTTAATACTCTTTCTAGTGCTCATCTCCTGAGGGATAAGTACAAAGCTTTAGAAGTGAGCTTCTAAGAGCCTCTGAACACAGCTGTTCTTCATTTAGCCTACTGGCATTCACAAAGAAGAGGCTTTGAAGTTGCCATTATTCCTAGCTAGCAGACAGCAACCATCTTGGCAGAAAGACCGTAGTTCTTTGATCTTGCCTTGGGTTACTTTGTTTCTGCCATGTGTAGAATCTCCAAAGCTCCAAACTCAAAAAAGAAATTTGGGTAACTTAGGAAGGATTTTTTTTAGCCTTTACAAGGAGTAATTAATAACAAAATGCTGTACAAAGAGTCACAAATGTTTTAATACATCTTTTGATATGTTCTCATCAAGAGGATTGCCATGATCACATGTACAATAAATCAATTTTCCTATTCATTTCATGATCTAATCTTTTTGAGATTTCCAGTGATAATGATCCTTTGATTCCTATGACAAATTAAACCATTTATATCTTAGTGGAGTTTTCTATTAAAGTTCTTTGTGCACTTTTTTGTTGGACTATTGATTTTTACATCGTTTAAGCTTTTCAGATTCAAATAATTGAGTAATCTGGTTAAAAATACTATTAATCTCTGGTCCCAATAAATTTAATAGCATCTTTGAACTGCATTAATTAATGCCTTACTTTGTTTGATTCAACAATAAATTACGAACAATATGTCATGATTATAATAATGGCTTTATGTTAAGGGTTAAGGAGAGCCTTGCGGGGACAGTGTCTAGTTATTAGGATGGGACAAAAACCTAGGGTCTGTCTTTACATACTCATGCACGTACATGTAAAGAACCCTTGACAGTTGGAATTTGAAATAAGAGCAGGCTATCTGATATCAGTGCAAATGCCCATATAGTACACTGTATGGCACGGTTGGTGCATAAAAAAAGGACATTCAATTCATATACATGTGAGGTTACTACATATTATCCAAATGATTTGTCAAAGTTTGAATTGGACTGATCTGATGTTATTTCCTTAGTGATGTGTCCACCTCAAAAATTTTGTTTCAAACAATTAAGTGGAAATCAGCTGCTATTATAACTTTTGGCTTACAACACAACATCAGTTAATCTTAACATTGACTTATCTATAGAAGTAACATATTTAACAAAGACAGGGTGGTCATCTAACAAATCCAATATGGAATCAACAATTTTATTTTGGACCCAAATCTGTATTGAATCCATGAAAATTTATACTTTTCACCAAAGCATAGAGAGAGAAATGGGGTTTAACATCCACTCGACACAAACTAGGTCATTTCGGGGAAAAACATATGGTTAAATTTTATTTTAATAATTTGCGTAGGGGTCTTTAACAGTGGGAGGAAACCATAGGAACCTGATAAAACCCACAAGGTTAAACAGGCAACCCTACTTCTTGTCACATTCAAGCAGGGAATCGAAACCAAGCCACTTTACACAATGATAGATCTTGTGATTTCACATGCACACGTTAAAACCACTAGACCACAGACCCCCCCCCCCCTTCAACAAAGCAGTTTTAGGCTGTTGCTAGTTCACTGCAACATTTAGTGGGCGTCAATGTATTTGGCAATTTGCATGAGATGGTGTCATTGGAATACTGATATTTTGTCTATATTTAACTACATAAATACATATATCTTTTCTCAGCTACTCATGTAGTTATATACTACATGCATTTACAGATATGTTCATAAAATCTTAGGAATAAAATCGTAGCTTTTTGTGAAATAAATCACTCAAGTTGGGTTAAATTTTGTAATGCCATTTTTTGCAAAATACCCCTAACAATGTGCACTTAGGGTTTCCAGTTATCTTGATGTTTTTATCTAATAACACATGCAATTTTTGTATTTATGTTTCTGTCAATGTATTGAATTTTTATATTATACTTACTTGGAACTTGTAGGATCCATTAAATTAGGCATTGGAGGTAGGGATTCTTTATCATACACAGTACTAATTCCACTATCAATATAACTGCTACTATCAGACGATTTAACACATTTGCTGGCTTTCTTTTTACTCGTAACACTACGATTACCCTGTCCAAGCACATCAGTCCAACATGACATACTCGCATGTTGGGCTTCTTTTTCCATCCGCGTTTTAGATGTCCGTGGTTGATGATGATGGTGATGATGATGATGAATGTGTTTATGTGTCTCTTTTCCTGATTTTTCATCTCCTACACCACTATCACACGATAATGACGAAAGACAATCACGTTTGCGATGTTGTAAACTACGTGAATGTATGGCACTGGATCCAGTTCCTGTGGCCGGTAAGGACTGATTGAATTTTTTACGTGCTAATGTTGGGGATTTATTAGGAGGTGAATGTCCACTAGGCGTATGATGACTTGAACTTGCCCAAATTCTACTACAATGTTGATCTAAAATACTTTCAGCAGTTTCATCTTCTATCACAGAGTTTGAAGGTATGAATGGTATATTGAAAGACGCTGTTGTATTTTTTACCATTGAGGAGGACATTTTTTCCTCTTCAGCTTTATCATACTATAACGAGAAAAAAGCACATGTATTTTCACATAATCAACCAACAACTATTCAGGTCATGTTCACAATACAGTTGACACCATATTGATACAGGTCAACAAGAATGCTAAATCATACCTGTGATACCAAATTTATTGCTACGGTCTAAATAAACATTTATTACAGACAACCATATCTTCAGTCTTCTTTGATTGGCATTTAGTAATTGAACATATTAACACAAGGTACAACTTTATTGATACACAATTACTAAGTTTAATACTAAGCGACGTTTCGGAGAGGATTTGCTTGATAAAGACGAGAGTATCCTTGTCGAAACGTCGCTTAGTATTAAACCCAATAATTGTGTATCCATAAAATTGTACCTTGTGTTCATAACTTCAGTCTTTATTTTAATTGGAACCCCTGGACTATAAATACAGCATGGTTTCCAAAGTTTTGTACACTTACATAATGAAGCACATAATCAAAGAAAATTTACAAACCTCTAAACATTTTAATTTCTCTTCCATTTTTATTCCAATTTCTTGTTCTTCATATACCCGTTTTAATTTTTCAATGACCAGACTGGCAAATTTCTTTGGATCAGTTTCTGCTATATTTCTATCTTTTGGTGCCCTTTCCGTTCGCTAAAAAAAAACCCCAAAAAACAATTAGTCATAAAACAAACAGTGGTTGCGAAGGGTACACAAATAGTTGGAAAGTGTGCTCAATGTCAGATTATGATTAGACTGTAAACTATTCCAAGATATCTTTTAGCAAATAGAACCTGTTCATTACATGTGAAAGACTATGTATAAACATTGATCCTTGTAGTATGCAAGTATCTGGAGCTCTGGGATGTTTTTTCAAACAAACATAAACTTTCACTTTCCATTTGAGGTAGCTAATAACTCCCCAGATGCAACAGTGCATGGATAACCGTGTCTACATACATGTTTATGTCTACACATGTACTTGTTAAAGTTGAAGAGTCAAATGTACATGTAAGTGTTCGTCTTGATTATCAAATCACTTATACAACCAAACAACAAATTCCTTAAAAGAGTTAAGCAAATTTAAGCAAATCTAACGATCATTTTGATATTAGAGCTGAAACATTCATACAAGAGAGAGAGAAATGGGGTTTAACGTCCACTCGACACAAACTAAAAAATGGTTCAATTTTATTTCCATAATTCGCTTGCGCGTTGGGGTCTTTAGGAGTGGGAGGAAACTTGAGGGCCTGGAGAAAACCCACGAGGTTGGACAGGCGATCCTATTCCTTGTCACGTACAACCGGGGAATCAAAACCAGTTGACTCAATGACAGACTATGTGATACAGCACGCACGTGCTAACCATTCAGCCATCCAAACCCCCAAACATTCATACAAAGCAATATTGCTAGATCTGTCCATTTTATTTGCATGCCCTATGATATACTTACAGGTATAATGTGTGAATGGAGACCAGCACTTGTTTCTCTATTAACCTGAGCTTGATTTTTCATAGACTTTCTACTTCGCTTCCAGCTTCTATTGGACAAACCATCTCTGTAAGAAACATCAAATTATGCATGAAGGAATATTAAAGATACAGTTAAATCAAATTCCAGATTTGCTAACTAGCGCTAAAATGTAAGATTAAGAAACTTTAGTCTGTAAACCTGAAAACCAAAAGATATGACCAACCTTTTTGTGGGTTTTAAATTTTACTAACAAATACCAGGTAGTCTTTTTTATTTATTTTGTTTTGTTTTTATTTTGTTTGATTAATACATGTACATATCGGTCATTAGAAGTTCCATTGACCTTCATATTTAAAGGAGGTTGGCTATTTATAACAACAACTGTATTACATTTTTTCTTTTCATCCCTTTTGATACATGGACATGTCCATGTAACTACACAAATTGAGGTACATGTATATGTACATGTAGGCCTACATTGTGCTATTCCAACAATATCGTTATATAGCATTTATTGTATTTTATGGTTTACTTAAAACTGATGTATAATGCTTCACCAGAAGTATGAACAATATTTCAATTTTGAATATTTTGAAGCATTTAACCTGTCATTGCTAAGGTTTCATTGAAATACAGGAAGTAATGAATACATTTTGCTACTTTTTTTCTTGGATAACTGTCATTCTTCAATCCATGTATGTATAATCTAACATGTTCTTAAAAAATATCATTTTAAAAATTCCGCACAATATACATGAACCCAGAAACACAATTGTCTTGAAACAAGATATTTTAGCATGTGTAATATTGGATAAGCCCATCATACATGTATGTATGCACTCATGCTCTCCCTTTTATTACAGTAACATATATTAATAAAATATGAACCTAAAATATGTAAGCTACAAAGCTAATGGTATTCAATTTGATTGCTATATTCTAGGATATGATTAGCTAGGCCAGGTAAAGACAAGATCAAAGAAAAAGCAAGTCATTAGATAAAAGCTCCTTCACTATAAAAGTGGCTGTCCCTTTTATCAACAGTGCATAAATTTCTTCACGGTGGTAAAGCAAAGCCTTTGAAGTCCACAGTTTTGATAAGGCTGACTGATAACTAAAGGCCCAATCGATCCAAGAAACTGTTCACACTATAATAGTCTACATGTTTCAAAGGCAATAGGACAATACACTCCTCACATGTGCACATGTCTCAGTAATAGGTTTCAAGTACAATTTAATTACAAATGAGAAAACGTGGCCTTTGTTAACTATGTTAAGCTCTCAAACATAAGAAATAAAGCAATAAAGTCTATAGTGGCTGATAATGGGTGATTATTGATAAAGGCTAAACTAATGATCTAAAAACATAAATAATCAAAAAATATTACAAATTTAAGGCCCAGAGTTCATAATGCATTCTCAGACTTAAGTTAAGAATTTACTCAAAATTGTTTGCCTTATTTAACTAAAACATAGCCCTTTATAAAACTTTTGTTATTTTAATGTATCAATAAGAACCTATGGGAAAATTTTTGTGTTTCTGGATTAAAGATGTTTCTTATAAACAGTGATTGAAAGTTAAGTATTTTCTTAACTTAGGTCTGAGAATGCTTTGAGAATTTAGGGTCTGAGTTTAAAGATGTGTAAGTTTACAAATAATATAACAGAATTCATAGTTCGTGTATTTTATAACCTTTTTTACGGAACTGTGTTGTCACAACTTTCATTTAGATATTTAGGTCGACACTGTACATGTGTAAATTTTAATAATGAAACTCTGTAATATAAATTCTCTTTGATGTTTACAGACATGCTGTCCACGTACAAGTAACAAACATGTCTATAAAGGGTCAATGTCTTCTTAATTGCCTGTACATGTAGTATGTACATTTGTTCATTCATGTAAATGTTCACCGATTCAGTTACATTATGTACATACAGTACATGATGTGAAATTCCTTAACCAATTATAAATATGATTCATGTTCAGTTCATCTACATTTATAATTTCTAAGAGAAAGGAAAGGGGTTCAAAATCAAAAAGAGTGTGAATGAATATTTTACATGAACAATTGCACACTTAAATAATTCTATAATTACAAGAGATCTATTAAGAAATGTGTAGCTACAAAAATTTTAAGAGCAAGCTTTAAAGTTCTTATTTTCTACATGAAAGTAAACCTACTAAAAGATAAAATAAAAAGCAGAGAGCCTTTAGCAAAATGTCCCTGTAGTAATCTACATATCTTTATTTCTTTTTCTCTACCTCACTGATCAAAGCATTTTGAAAGGTAAGCTCAGAGTTGATTGTCACACCATGACTTATGTTCATCACTCAACCAGAACCGAATATAAAATAAAATGAGGTTCTTTACATAATATATTAAATAACTCAAACAGTTCAACCATTTATATCGCTTTTGTTAAAAGGAAATACATGAAAGGATTTGAATATTTTTTTCACCCCACCTTTACCCCTCTCTTGTGATCAATAAATTTATAGTAAATTTTGAAAAGAAAAACGGTTGGGAAGACAACTTTGAAATCTGAATTCTCATTGATGTACATGTATATCAAACATATATTTGATCTCAAGATAACATTATTTTATTACTATCATAAGTTTGAATAATACCAAAACATGAGAAAAACTTTTATTCCCATCATGTATGTACATGTGTACATGTACACATAAAATTTGTAAAAGAAAATCACCCTGGTTATTTTTTGTGAAGAATTTGTGATTAGTAATACATATTTTGATTTTTAGTTTTAAAAAAAGTTAAATTTCACTTTTTATATTAATATGTTAGCATGAAGGGACAAAAGGTTGATCATCAAAATGTGTTTAATTGTCATGATGTTGTATGTCACTTGCTCTTATCGTTAGATGAAGGGACAAAAGGTTGATCATCAAAATGTGTTTGAAGGGACAATAACACTCTTGCTGGCTTGACAGCTCCAGAAGATAAAAAATAGCCTAATGTAGATGTGTTAGTGTCCTACCTGTTGTGTAAATTATCCATTCAATACTATTTTACTTGTCCAGGGGGTTCAAAATTATTTTTAAATCGAAGTTTCATTTGAAAAGGTTTACGTTAGACGTTTCAAACCATTATGTTGAATTTTTCAAAATTTTTAAATAAGGTGTGTCAAGATGAAATTTGTATCATTAATTAATTGAAATATTCTAAAATAGTACAATTTGTTGACCAGAATAAAGATTGGGACATATTATTCAGTTACAACAAGAGTGGTATTGAGCCTTTAATTGTCATGATGTTGTATGTCACTTGCTGCTTATCGTTAGATACATGGCATAAAAATAATGAACAGAGTATGTTCATTATTACATTCTTAAGTGCAGTTTAACAGTCTAGAGAGAGACATTAAGTAATATAGATGTACTGATACTGCACGAGGGCACTGAAATTATGGTACGCCAACTTCAAATGATGACCCAACTTCAAATGATGACATCACACGTTTATTTTATATAGGCATAACCACAGAAATTTTACATACCCTTAGGTACATGAATACTTATATATAATTTACAAGAGAAAAGGGTATTGTGTAATTGCAGGAAGAACTGACTACAGACAGAATCTAAGAATCATGTAAATCACGTAGAATGAACAAAGTGCCACCTACATGAATGTTGTACACGGCCTAGAAGGTCCAGTATTAAAATTCCCTGATCAAAAGGACACAACTTTGTATCAAGTCATATCACAAGACTAAAAGTATGACAATGTTGACTAACATACACAGTAAACACCTCATTCATACACACTTCACAGGCATAAAAAAAACATTTCACTACTTACACAGAACTATCAGTTAATGATATAGTATCATCAGTTAAGGCATCACTGGACAAACTCTGTAATTCACTATCCACAGTAGATACAGGGGCATAGGAAACATGGGCTGGGTAAGCAGAATTTAACATTCGTGAGGTATATCGGGAGCACCTATGCAGAGAGCAAGAAAAAAATTAACAGTGAGTTTCCTACATAAATAGAGTGTATTTAGAATAAAATGAAAACATCAGAAAATAAAAAGTGATATTCCTACACATGTACATTAGAAGATTTAATAGTCACTTGGTCAGGGTTGTGGAAATGGTGTTTGTGACAAAATAATAAAACAAGATTAATTTGCCAAGTTTCAAGACGATTTTACCATTAATACTACCTAAGTTGTAGTTGACAAAGTGTAATTTTAACGATGTCAGGCAGCAATAAATGACAAAATAACTGAAATGTTAATAGTTAGAAATAGTTTGTTTATATTGATGGCACAGTGCAATCTTTTGTGGTATGACATAGCAAGGTCTTAACACTTCTTCAATCACATACATTTAAATTTGGTAAACAAAGAAGTTATGATAAATTTAGTTAACTGATGAGCTGCTCACTAATATACAATTTGTATATATGGCACTGAAACATTTTCTTCCTTTAATCAAGAAGAAGCATGTCATGGTTCAGACCTCAGTAGTCAATTTAAAGAAAGCAAATGATCAAATTCGATTTCCCTTTTCAAACAGTTTTTAAAAAATTCCCCATGCACATACAGTATTACATGTACATACATGTATGCATGTGAAATTCTTACCAATACCCCCCTTTGCCCCAATGTACAATTTTGATATTTCCACAGCCCTGACTTACATGTAGTGATAAAACAGATTAACAGTAACATGTATAAAGCTTGAAGCAACATTAATATGAAACTAAACATATTGAAGAAAAATATTTAAATGTGGAAGTATAATATAATTTGTGCACAACCTACCCAGTAAGAGTTTCTGTTCTTCTAGCACCAGGTAATTCTGGTCTTTGAAAATTATGACCATGTGATTTATTCAAAACACTAGATACAGAACCATAATTTAATTGGTCACTTTCTAATTCTTTGTCTTCAATAAGGGCCGGTAGGAGTCCCGCTTGGGATACAGGCCTAGCACTATTTGAACCACTAGAGCGGCTTGATTTAGGACTATCGCCATAGTTCTGCACATATTGCACATAGAAATCGGAGTTTAAAAATGCAGGGTATGTCACACCTTTCATATAACCTTCAACTTCAGCTTGTGCAGAATCGAAAATAGTTCTATCCATTTGTTCCTTTCGATTTATTTTGTCTGTTATTCCCTGTCGTGTGTCTTTATCAATACACTTTATTTTATCATGACGCACAAATTTTTTATATATCACTTTTATTACACTTGGTAACTGTTGTTCATCTTTTTGTCTTAATCCTTCACAAGCAAACCAAAAATCCACTTCGTAACACCCTCCACTTTCTTTTTCTAAATATTCCTTAAATAATTCAACACCATCGCTATCACTGAGTAAATGATGCAGTGTTTCTGCCCACTTTAAATGTGGGGGTGTACTATTTTCGGTAAAGGGCGGTGAACTTGCAGCACTTCCTTCTGGTTCAAACCCAAGAGGAGCGTCCATATCATCACTGAACAGTCCTTGGGTAGAACAACTAAGTGAACCTCCAGTTTTATCCAAATTTGATTTGCGAGGCGTTGCTGCAGGAGAATGTGTCATCTCTCCTTTGCTGGACGACATACTTTTACCAGATGACTGGCTTTTGCTTGAAACTTGGCTCTTGTGAGAGCCACTACTACGGGTTGACATTCCACCGTTTGAATGGAGCTCATTTTCTTCTCCAGGAACGGGCGGTCGAGGTGCCGATTCAGTAAAGTTGTTTCCACCTGAATCATTCAGAAATTCAAACACCTTCTTGCTGGTCATCCTCACAAGGGTGTGAGGTCAATCACTGACCACAAGATGCTATGGTTCTGATAATCTGTGTTTACATCTGAAAAATATAAAAGAACCTGTGTAAGTTTACCGCAGTGAGAAGTTAAATAGGTTATCTTTTTATAAGTGGGGATTTCCACTGCAAAAAAATGGGGATTAGAACCAGTACCAGAGTTCCAATGATAAGAATGCCTGCGGAGAGGGTTCTATTTGTTACAGAAACCTTAATTTAATGTTTTGTTAACTAAAGATTACATGTATTATCAGGACAAGATATGTCAGCAGGAATATAGATTGTTTCACAATGACGCCCAAGAAATGTGTAAACCAAGCTTAACTTTTGGTGAAAACAATGTTTATGTCTCTTCTGCATGTAGGTGCAATTTAATTTTTATTATTCACGGTACCAAACTTGGACTATATATCTATCAATTCTAAGTAAAGTTACACTAACTAACTCCATACAAACTAACAGCAGTCTTCTACTTTTTAAGTACTTTATAATCCTGAGAGCCACTTTACTTCTGAAATTCACTTGGCTTTAAAAGACTTGGAATGACTTTACTATGCAATTAATGTTCAAATGACTTTAAGTAAATATTTCAAAAGTATTCAAAGCTCTGTTAAGCCAAAAGGCTACCCTCTTCATCTTTTAAGCTGGCAGAGAAAACTACCCTTATACAAGAGTAAAGAGTAGTCATTTTGGAAAAATGAAGAAAATAAATGGTCTCTACATTTCAACACAGAAATGTCGGTTAAAAAAGGTTTAGCTCTGATGAGTTGCTTTGAGTGTGTCAAAAACGGTCTCCAATTTTTCTTCCTTTGATGTACTGCAGGAAGTCTTCAGCTGTAATAAAACGCTGCTGACATAGAGGGACCTTCAAAGCCTTAAACTATCAAAGGCAAGATAGTTAAAGAATCCTATGTACGACCATGTGTTTACAACTTTCTTTCCTTTATACCTGGTACAACAGTGTCTGACTCAGGTAAAAGAACCAAGTGACCTGCCTACACAAGAAATCTATCTTTTATTCTTACTACACATGTAAGTGCGATATTAGAGTGTTCTTTTAACACTAAATTTTAATGTATATACAATGTAAATGTAGGCTTGCATGCCCTATAATTTAAAAGTTAGCATCATGTCAGTTTTAAAACCTGACAAGTACATCTACAGTTATATTTCTTGTGTGATTTTGAATTATATAAGTATGGTACATGTATACATGTATGTATATTGTATACTTCGTAAAATGTTCTAATTAAAGGAGCTAGACTTCTGTTAATTAAAAAAAAAAGGGGTGCTCAATACGATTGATCTAGTGTCATTTCTATTAATTATGGGACGGTATTTATATGATTAAGTTTCAATTTCATTAAGCGGTTTGTTTACTAATTTTAGTTTCTCTAATGGCTTAAACAGTTAAACACAAAATCAGTTATGTCAACACTGGTTCTATCTGTGGATGTTAAATTTCAAAAGTAGCCAAATACCTATTTCATAAAATAAATCAACACTTTACAAAAGAAAATCGACCATCATAATAAATCACCCAAATGTCTCAAAAAGATAAAATTTAACTAATTACCAATATCATACCTACATGTACACTTACACTGTCTGATCGTTAAGTTGAATTTCATTAGAAATAGAAGCCTCATCAAATGCAATCCACATATTTAATGGAGATGACTGTTTAGTTCCTTATTTCAAAATACCTTTGTACTTATAACTAGACCTACATGTACATGTACATGTGCACACTGAGTTCTAAAGCTTTTAACTGAAACGGTCTGAATGGAACCTCAAACCTAATGCCAACACTTGAAGTTGAATAGCAATGCCTACAATAACACATAATGCTGAAAATTCAATAAATTATGTGTGTTCAAGGTCTCTATGTTTAGCAAAGGTATGTTAAACATTACAATCTATAGATGTGGATGCTCAAAGACAGTATTGATTAAACTGAAGCTCTTGCTCCAGAGGTAATTGTTGCTAATTGATCTGCACACTGATACTCTTGAAAGTGGGTTATATGTACATGAATGATAGGCCTTTAGTTGCCTTTGATCTTACACATCAAATACATACAGCTTATGATAAAGTCTCTGATGTAGTGTTTCTATATAATCCTCAATCTAATTTTTTTTCAAATTCTATCTGTATAAACAATGTGCAAGTAAATGTACATGTATTGCTGCCAGTGCTCTTTTTTGTTAAATCAAAATTTGATATTTTAGTTTTATTACCTCTAGCTAGTTCCTTATTTTTAAAAAGTGCCAGTTATTTTTGTTCTATTATTAAAACATTAAATACCGGTACCTCAAGGGTAAAATACTTACTCTTAACTCACAATCTACCTACAACATGAATACTCACAATCTACCTACAGGTACATGCCTCCTGTTTAGTGCATAAACAGACCTATATGCATAAGGTAACCTACATGTAACTGTATAGGCTTAACTGATCCAAATGTGTTTTCATTCTCCCCTTAGATGTGTGTGGAAAGAATCTTTACAATGTGACATAATGGGCCTATTGTACTGTACTGGTTTGCAACATTTTGACATGTTTTGTTCTGAAAATATCATCCTGGCATTAGCAATTTTCAGAAAAGATAGTGTTATGTCACATCACAGAACATTCGGCCAATTGATACAAGGTGGTAGCAACTTCAAGCAATTGAGAAGTATTGTGTATCGTACCACTGAAATCCCAAAAGGTAAACTGAAAAGTCAGAATAATAATAGCCGTACATGTAGTTTATGAATTTCACATTCAACTTCAGAATTATGCTTGTACTGGCAAAAAGCTCTGATTACACAGACTGTAGTACCTTCAGCCTTTTCAAATATGCTCTCTTATACTCATGATTTTAATCTAAAATTTGCATACTGACATGGATTCAGACATCCAGTTCAATCTTCATGTTATCTCAGAAATCAGAATTGACTCGACCATATCAACATGTCACAATCTACAAATGATATTTTACTTGAGGAAATATTCTGTGTCGAATTAAAGTCTTTTGTCTTTTATTTAGGTATCGTAGTTACTGATGTCTAAATTTAATTTAATTACACTCCTACCTATTATTAACTCATAATATTGAGCATAAAGCAGGGTATGTCTACTCAATTTTGATAGAATACCTGATATGATTTTTTTTGTCAAAGTAGTATTAGTATATAATATACAATGTATGCTTACCCATACCTACCCCTTCTAACATAGATTAATAACAAAAATAACCCACTCTAGATAATAGACCTTTGAAGACAATGTATTACATTGTTGCAATCAATATGAGCTTTATATCCCTTGTTTTTGTTTAACATAACCCATTATCTATAGTTAAATAAAAGAGATACGTTGCAAGTGAAGACCTAACCTATTTTATGACCTATCTTGAAAAGAATAGAAGCGCTTCTAGCCTATAGCCATCACATTTTCTCACCAAGTGGCTCAATATATCTAGCTCGGCTAACAAGAATTTGAGTCTTAAACATGTTGGATGTTCAGGCAGCCATACGTCTGAAATAAACTGAACAAATGCCTCCTAGTAAAGGTAGAAGTCGTATGTCACCTTGAGATACCCATGCATCGAATTTTAAATAGTTTCTCTTCGAAAGGAACGTTCAAGACATAAAATAGTACGTCGATCTTGTAATTTTCAGATGCACGAGGCCGCCATTACTCTCTATGCAAATGGTGGCGCTGTCAGCAACATTTCGCTCGATCGCTAACTTTAGACATTGGATGCAGTTATAGACAATTTTAATATCAATCACCGAAGTTTATCGGAACTTTTTATCACCTAAACAATGTTTTCTAAAAATACAAATATGTTTAGACTTTAAAAATTACATATGGACGACCTGTTGAACAGTGTTTATGTCGGTATACATTGTAAATTCCGAAAATTAAATAAAACAAAAGAAAAACAAGATGAAAAAATGTAAACCATTATTTTCCCAAAAAATTGTTCACCCTACGATAATTGTTTAACTATAATAATCCATCCAGTCATATCGTTATCCGAAGTATTGGACAAGTAACATGCCCTGTCTGTTGGTCCTAATGTTACATACAAAACGATACACTATACACATAATTCCACATATTTGCCACTTTTTGACTTACCATCCATGTATATAACTATAAAACAACTTGTATGTCAGGAGAAGAGTTGAAGGCGAAATGTGTCCTTTTGAACTCGGTCTATAATCCACAGCGCACTACTGAACGAGAATAACTTGTGAACTTAAACTAATGTCTATCATTGTTATGTTAGCCTTTATTTTGCAAGGTAGATCTACTCCCCTAGTCCTATTTTTAGCTGGGGATTCCGAAAATAATATCTAAAAGTAGACATTTAACTTTACCACGTAAATAAATCCTTTTCAATATCATGTTTTTCTATGGCGATGTACGTAAATCCATGGTAATAAACTTCATCACACATTTAATAAACAGAGTAAACGAATTACACTAGAAATGTAGAGGTGGTGGTGCTGACGCCGTCTCACTAGGTTGGAACGCGGTTTGCTACTTACTGGGTCGTATCACTATATACATAGGCATATGGCAAGCTCCATAGGAGGATAACAGATAGAGCTTACCTTTGCATTGCGGTTTCACACAAAGGCTATCTCGACTGAAAACAACAGTTGAAAGGAACAAAAACGATGATGGCGATTTGAAAAGTTTGAATGCAGAAGATCAAAGCCACATGCCCGCCGCCGACAATCCCCCCATACTACATGACGTCATGCCTTTTAGAAGAGCCGCGCCAATCAAAATTGAGGTGGAAACACACTGAAAGAAATCTGTTGGGCGAGTCTAATATGCAGAAGAAAATAGGTAGTGTATTTTACCAAATAATAAGGTTAATTCGGTAACTCCTTGTTTATTTTGGATGAAAGTTTATTAAGCAGATACATTTATTTAATGAATATTTTGTATTTTAAATATTTTTATGCCAAACATTCATTTTTAAACAAAAAGTAACAGTCTATTCAACCCATTGCACTATGTTACAATTTTATTGCTTCCGATAGCAACACGAAGTTGAGAGAATTTGGAGGCTTTGATGTTTACCGCCGTCGTTGATTACTTATCGCTTTAATTAGCTGTAATTTTGACAAAGTAAATAAAAAACATTTTTTAATTCTTTTACCCTGCATTACGCAGATCATCACGGTCATCGTTTCAGTGTGGATTTCTTCATTAATAATTGAATAATTTTGTTTTCTTTCTGACAATGCTTTGCCCTTATAAATTACACATTTGCCGGAGGCCGCCTTTGATGTTTTTGGTTAGTGTATTAAGCACACTTGTAAATCACAAGAGAACAGCGTCTACGGTAGAGGGCTGTATAGCTAGGAACAAACGTCACAGACACGACAAAAATGTTTTGAGAATATAGGGATAGGGTTATAGAAAAACCATACCTAAGCCATTTTAAAAGGAGTTTTTTAAGGGCATAAAATCATAGTTTATGATAACATTTGGCACCATTCCAAAAAGTCTTCCTTTCATCTTTGCGGACAGATGTGTGTGTCTTTGGTTTCTTCACAAAGGACGAAATGGATAATTAATGTAAACAAAATGGATAATACTTTCTTCGTTTAAAAAATAACCCTGACTTAGTCAAAGTCGGTGAAAATCCCATTTATTGCTCATTGCGTATAATTGATATCTATGAGTGGTGAATGGAAACCCAATGAAATGAAGGAAATACGCGAATAAAACTTTGAATACTGTATACGTTTGATATTAATGGGGGCATGTGTGCATTTCGTTGGAGTGGTGGTGGGTGGTGGGGGAATGATAATAAAGAGAAGACGATTGAGGTATGTCATATCAACCTGAAAAAAATATAGGGGTAAACGATTAAAACCCCTGTATTTGACGTTCGGCTTATCTGTACATTTTCGTAAGCTCTAAGTACGGTTATTGTAGGATGGCTCGATACCGATAATAGGTATATATACAGGTTCTCTTCAAATTCTAATCGTCTTTCTTAAGAACCAAATTCCAACAAAGATAGATGAATTAGTGTACACCATACATGGCACTAGATTACACAACCAATTATCAATAATCGTTAATTAATGTCTCAAATCGGTATCAATGTAATAAAACCTTTGTCGGCTCTTAATATATATAATCATTTTCCCTTCTAATAATAATAAATAATGGTTTTGATCTGAAATCATGCAAAATATACAAAGGACGGTTACAATTACTTTTAGTAATGAATTCGTTTGATTTCTATTCTCTTTTGATCTGGGTCTATCAGTAAAGCCCTTTTGAAATTATCCATTTTTTCATCTCTTCAAACAGGCTAACAACCGAAGCCCTCTTTGTTGTTTTCAAACAAATATAGCGTCGTCTTTGTAAATAGGTAATTCTAGGCCTACTACTCTTTAATCTATGGAGTTGAAACGTGTTTCTTGTCATGTAATGACGACGATTAGAAGGTACATCTTAAGAAATAGAATGGTTTTGAGATTTTGATATTTGATGCGTCGTAAAGAATGTAAGAAAAGATGGCAGACTTCATTTTGGATATTGTTTTTAGAATCCTAGACAGATCCCAATGATCCATTACTCTTTAAAATATAGGTTTACCTGTCGAATTAGTTATAACTTAAATTAGAGGAAACGTGAAATAATAATAAAAAAAAACAAAACGTGATGTAAGAATTAGTTCTCGGTGGTATTTCACTTTAAAGTATAAGCTGTCATCCTGTACACGGGACACAAAACAAAAAAGACCAACTATGTATACACTATGCCACAAGATATTTGAAACCAAGCATGCTAGTGAGTGTACAGGTCAGCCAGAATTTGATGTAGTATTTAAGATTATGACTAAAGGCTATAGCCTAATGTCAAGGTTTCATTTGGTATGTATCCGTAATTTAATTATAGTTCATCCTACGGCAGACAATATATGGTTTTCATAGAGGATTAAAGAAAATCAATTTCAGTGTTGACAAATTTTCCTTTGAAGTATTTAATTAAGGGTGGAAGCCAACTGAGGCCGGCAAGCTGTTGGTTTTATGCGCTACAAGATCAAAGAAATCAGGTTTTGTTACCCACTGATATGCCATTGTTGACGCTATAACCTATATCAATGTGCCCTTTATCGTTTGTAATTGTCGGGTAGAACAGGTGTAATTATCCTATACACCTAACAATGCCACGTAATGGACTTAAAAAAAAATACCTTATAAAAACAAATATATTTACATTCTTTGATCTGTACTGAATCCATAAAGTTAATCCTGTTTTATTATATCAAATATTCTTGAAATAAGATACCGGTTAATTAATTAATGAACCGTCCTTTGTGAGGTGTGGAATGATGTTTAAATTGCACAATATCAATCCAATTATATTATTACATATTGTATATGTAGCTATAATGGATATTACCATTTTCAGACGCGTAATTCCATATTTAGACGTTATTTTTGATCCACTCCATTCACAATTTTTGTTGAATTATAGTTTAGGTATGTTTTGCGTGCACTGTCGGATTAAGACCTAATATGGTTAACATTGCATGCCAATATCAAATTGTCGTGAAGTAAACTTCAATCAAATAAGTCCGTTCACAATTGTTTGTGGACATACAAGTTACAATTTTTATCCCATTTTGATGAAATTTAAAATATATACGTGTATTAAGGATCAAAAGATTATGGTTCGATTTTGGTGCGCATACTGACCGCAATATCTTGGGTTATGGACCCTACCCATTACGCAAAATGCGAAACATGTACGAAGTTTGTCGACCCCCGACAAGCCACAATCTTTGTCAAATTTATATTTAATTATATGCTAAGCACCCAACGATCCTGAATGATTGTCATTTTGGTGTCACGGCTGTTTCGTCTGTCCGCCAGGGACAAACCCTATAGATAATCAGCATTCCTTGACACGAGGGGATGAGCCTTGATTTCCCTGCTCGCATGTTGGGTGTATCTTTCATTGCACCCCCCCCCCCCAAAAAAAACCCAAAAAAACACACACACACTCACTGAACTTTGGGACCCTGGCACAGTTGCACCCCACACGCCTTAGTAATCCGACACTGTTTATGTGTATTGTGGTGTGGGGTTGGGGGCAGGCAAACTAAGGAACCGACCTATGCGACACTATTGTTGCGGTCAACGCCATTATCAACAATACCTGCAAATACAGTGTTCACAAGACTTTGTGGACAGGGTACAACCACTGGATAATGTGTACAGGTGACAATATACGCCCACAAAATGTCCGAAAAATAATTCTCCACTCGCTCCCCTTGGTTCTGTAATTTTTATATAAAGCATATATATAATGTCCATAGACAGTAGAGCACTAACTGTCGAACAAAACACAGCCAATTCAATATTGTCAAAGATAATGACAAAGTCGTTTACCCTGACATAAAATAGTGATGACAAAATATACTGTGTCAAAGATAACCCGAATGTCAATATGAAAACAATAATGGATGGCTCCAAGCAATACAGCGGTGTTCCGGATGACATTGCAATTTACTGCAACATCGCCCCTCTCGGCAACATTTGTCTTTCTTTAAAATTTGTTTTCATCCTTAAAGATACATTATGGGAGATAAGATAAAGAGATGGCAGTTCTCGCTATAATAGTTAAAAACTAGATAGTGTAAAGGTAATTTGCTGAAAATTTCAGTCAAATTGATCCACTATGAGCCGAGAAAGAAGTGGGTGAAATTTTTGCATAGTCTCGGTCATCATCACTAAAATCATTAATATAAACAGCATAGTCTCGATTATCCACTTTTTCTGATTTAATTATCAACGGCCGTTAGTGGCATATAGGAATCTAATCCAGCCAACATCGAAGGCTAGCCTTGACATCGAGAGTTTATTATGGTCTGAATAAGTTAATTAATGCCTAATTGATAATTTAGATAACATTTCAGGCCTAAAGAAAGACTTGTAATAGGCAGATTTTACTCTTGCATAATGCATGTTTAACCAACACATTTTCATACCTGAATAATACACACATAATGATTTCTGACAATGAAACGCTAAACAATGTTATGTATATAAAGTATACCTATTTGATTATGCGGACTTGTTTGCTTTGAGTAAATCCGACCCTGATTCTAATGAAGACCACAGAATCATCACACCCACACCTTCTGGACTACAGAGCTGTTGTATAAATATTACAGACAAGTTATAAGAGACATCAATCATCCAGAAGTCAATTCTTGCTTTGATATTCCATATAGCTTATAATACAAAAGGCTAATCTATCAGTGATCGAGGTCTGTATTAAAGAAAACTAATTCAAGCAGATTTTTTAATTGCCGAATACGTGTTGATGCAACTATTATTTCAAAGTGAAATTTAATCATTTTAATCATCCATCACAAAGACCCAGGGTTTGGTTACAAAGAAGTCGGCGCGTGCCGACCGTTCGGTAGCCTCAACGTGCGATTATAATTTCTCTTTGATCATGCCGCTCTGAAGATTGTTTGTCCGTTTTACGGGACTGAAAATCCTCCTTATCTAAAGAAAATTGGTCGATAAAACTACACATCTGTCACACTCTGATCATACTTAAAGTTTGTCTAATGTCTTATATATTTTATAAAATACAAAAAGAAATATAGTAGATTAAAGAATTCATTAAAATTCATATAAATGTCAGACCCATGTTCTTTAACATTGTAAAGTTCAACTTCACATGTAATTATACATTGCAGAAACATTTCTGGCTGGTGATGCAGACATGTGAATTAAAAAAAAAATCATATTGTATTTGATAATATTCATAGCATCAGTGAAGAAAGCCGGACAAATTTTAAACTAGCAAAGTTATTTCATCATTCTTGGTCAATATCAATTTAGCACCCCTAAAGTTAATTTTGCAATTTTTTTTTTTGATACAAGAACTGCTCATCGGAGATTATTCTCATTACAACAGTGAAGGAAGCAGGACAATTTTCTAATTGCAAAATTATTTGATCGTAATTGGCTAGGGAAATTAACTCTACTAAAGAATCATGTGTCTAACAATAAGCACTGGTCCCTTATGCATAGAAACGTAATTTCTGGGGTTAACAGTCCCTTTGATCTTGACCGCTCAGAGCTGTTCATTGGAGAGGTTAATCAAACTTGGACATCTGCCCCGCGGACAACGTATTAAAGCACCAGCAGTTCCTTATTTTATATTATCTACGATATCACTACAGGAACGAACGAACTTATTTTATCTAAGTCTGACATTCGTAATAAGGCCTATCGGGTAAATTTGAGAGAGAAATTGTATTTAACGTCCACTGAACAATTATTATGTCATTTCGGGACTAACAGTTATAGTAGGCCTCTATTTCCCTAATTCGTTTGCGCGCGTGACCCCGTCTTCATTAGCCCAGTCGGAGCAGAACAGTAGGACGTTAAACCCCATTTCATTTCATTTTTGCGCGCATGGTCTTTAGTGGTGCCGCCACTGATAAAGTCGACTGTGTATATTAAGGCTTGTCGAGTTTCCTCATTTTTTTTAAAAATACGACATTTTGACTAGTCGAGATATTTATAACTTGGTATTATATTCACAAGAAAAAAATATCACATCTCTGGCTTCAATTGCTTTTTGAGGAAACCTATTTTATAACGTAATAAATTTCACCAAAAAAAATTCCCTTTTTCACCACTTTTTGTGAAAAAAAATCATTTTTTAAAATCCCGAGGTTTTGCACCAAAACACATGTAGAAAGCCAAGATCAAGCGCAGATCAAAAGTTCATCAAATGTTTCACTGTAATGACCTTTAGAAGCAACAAAAGGTCTCATTTTGCGACTTAGAACTTCAGTCACGACGTGTTTGTGCCTTGCTTCACGTCCGTATACAGAATGGGAAGTCTCAGACGTCATGGCCACTGTCTGAAGGTAGTTAGGTACATACAGCTTGGTACCATTCAGCAATGCTTCCTGCAGTTCCTGGTCAGAAAAGTCCTCTGTGAGAGCAGATTCACAAATACCACATTGAGAAAGGTTCATTAGTTTTGGCCAATGACTGTGTATAGCTTCAAAGTTAATAGAGTATAGCATGTTCTCTGGAAGTAGGCTAGACCGAAAGCATTGCACTACAATTAAGTTGTTGATTTTTTAGACTCTTCTGAGCTGCACTCTATATTAATGTCTTGCGAAGACGACGACGCGAAGGGGGATGCATCTGCTTCATATTGCTTATGTATCTGGAATTGCAACCGTTCTGCTTCTGCTGTATCCCTTTGATCTCTTCTCACATCTTTATCGACAGAGCCTAAATGAAAGGAACCCTTCGGTCCAATTTTCGCCCTTTGATCTCTCGGGTTCTCTCTTTCTTCTACTGGAACCTTCTTTCACGGTGGACAAGAACAAATGATGTGCTGTATTTGACAATTATCTTTCTTGCATTTCACAACATTGTCATCACAGGGGCGAAAAAAATAATTTGCACTGATCATCGAGATAAATAGATCTGTTTATCCGATCAGAGGACATAGAAAATGTCAAGCGAACGGACTTGCCAAAGTAGCGAGCCCTTACGGAGGGTACGGGGATTTTGAAATATAAACAGCCGGAAATACAGTATTCAGGCACCGATTGTCGAGATAAATGTAGAGTTGGTCAGATACCGGATGTCGCATGATCACTAGTTTAATTGTTTTAAAATTTTGGCGGGGGTGGGGCAAACAGAGGGCAAATGCCCCCCTCCCCTTTGGCGTCACCGCTTGGGCCATTGGATCATTCTAAGGACTTTCTTTGAGCAGGTTTTATCATGATTAAACCGACCCGAAACTGTACTGCACATAGCTTAACATATAATACACCAATTCACATTGAAATAAATGTGAAACCTTACCGAATAATTAT